TACTCATATTAATAAGCTGAAACGGCGCAATACAGAAATTGAGTACACTTTTAAGTTTTGTAAATCTAAACTAATATAATAAAGCGTAAACACGCACTACTTTGTGGCGTAGGATGTCAGCAATCACAGCATATTTTTGAATCATTTTTTTAAACATAAAGTCCTACACCTATGACACGCTTTAGGCTATATATTTTCACGCTATTAAACTTAGGGGATAAATGAATTTGATAAAATCTCTAATGTGGGAAAAGGACCATAAACTACAAGCTGCCAACATTAAAGAAGCAAGGTTATTATGGTAACGGTAATTTTGACTTTTGCAATTTAGAATTTGGCAAATACAATCAAATAAAGTTTTTACATTTACTTGCGGATAAAGCCGCGCGGGGACAGTTACTTTCATATATTCCTTGAGGATTGGAGGAGGTATCCCAGATACCACTATTTTGAAGCACACAATAAATCGCTTGGGCACTTTGTTAAACATTAAGTAAAGATTGAGGTCTGCAAGAAATTTATTAAGGCGTTGTCGAATATTACAATGGCTTTTATACGTGAGTAAAATGCAACATTATTTTATAAAGATTGGGTATTATATTTATAGACTACAATGTCACACCTGAGGCGACATTTCAGCGTTAATTGGTGACGTCTAGAACCGCCGAGTAACTCTATACGAGGTGTGAAGGCGACCTACTAAGTGGGGCAATAAATGACTCATATACATATATGACTAATTTTATTACGAACTACCACTGCACCGCTGTTTTACTTGACGACTGCCATAGCTGCAGGCAGATAACCAGTGACCGGATGTAATGGTGATATGAAATAACGTTATAATTGTAACCTATATTCTTAAAACTACGCTCTTTACAAAATTAGATTCTTGCACGATTGTTTATTACCTCATTGGTTGGCATGGCTCCGTCTAGCAAGATACAGCCTGTGTTTGAAACAACGTCTTTTAGCATAAGTTTACTAAGTGAAGACATTTATTCATCATAGTCTATTTAAGGAAACGCGTAGGTGATTTTTAATGCAGCTATGACAAGTATCGTAAAAACACATCTTGCAGCATCAGTTAGATCTGATAAAAAAGCTGTTACACCTACATCTAATTGTGGTTCAAAACAAATATGATAAGCTAATATGAACTGAAGCTACTGGAGTTATGGTAGGAAATGGATTAACAGATCACTGGTCTAATTATCTATTTGTTTTAGCTGATGATTAAACTTCATAGTTCGTGTATTTTATTACATCTTATGTTAAGTTTAGCAGTTTTTCTGCAGCCTTTTTCACAGTCTCTGTTGGTTGTTTATGCCAAATAGATTCTTTCAAAATCCGACTAAACGGCAAAAACTTGGATGCGAGCATGGGGTTTCGTTATATATTTTCTTTCTTTTCCACAATTAACGTGACGAAAACAATAAGCATGAAAACAGTATTTTTCCTTTGAACATAGTCTTATGACATCATGAATGTGTTTTGTTGAAAATTATAATTTTGCCTCTCCTATAGCATAGCTTTTCGCCCTATGACTTATCGACTAGTGAATTGTAAATAACAGAGCGCTGATGGGTGCCCTACCCGAGCCCTAGGGCTGCGATGGAGGCGGCTTGAATAATGGCTGATATTTTAGAACAATCACTTCGACTGCGTTGTTTTCTATATTTGTGGCATTTAAATGAACTTATGTAGCAGACCATTGTTTCTTCCTTGTTGGTTCTTAATATTTCCACGATTAGATTGTTAGTTGCTTTTTCTTGTATTTCAACATAATAACTATGAAGATCCATGGCGAAAACCACCATCTTATTGAGTAACGTATTATATTGTTATATTGTATTGAGAAACGGATTAATCTGGGCTGTAAGAAAAGGCAACAAGAAAATTCTTCTTTAACGAGCAATGTAAGCACATCTAAAGAAACGAGGGAGTTTTAGAAGGATTTCGTCAAATTTAATTCCAGATTGCTTTTGCACTTGATTATTATGATCTTATATTATTTCTGCCTCCATTAGATCACAAGAGATGGCGTTTCACCGTTGGTACCTGTATCCGCAGGTTGTCGACCGGTCGGTCGGCGGCGCGGAACGAGAGGGCGCTCCGCTCCGCCGACCACAGCAAGCGCCGCACTTCATATCTCACCAGATACACCTGTACGGTCAACTATTATATTCTTGGGAGGAAACACCAAGAAATAACAAAAGACTGGCGGGCAGTACGCCCCTAAGTCATGAAGAAGAATATTAGCAGTCCGATTCTAAGCTGGAGATAAAACACTTTTGCGACAGCCCCTGGGACCGTGACAAACGCCTCGAAGAAAAGTACACTACTGTACTTAGATTGCGACGGATATCAGCTTATAATGCAAACTTTGTTAAGTCACATATCAACCCCCCTTTTAACAGGTACACTATGCAGGAAGATCTTAGCGGATGGCGCAGACCAAAGGCTGCTTCCAGGGGTCCATCGGTGGGCCCCTCTTCTGGAACATATTGTTGGACACCCTCCTGGACGACCTGGACAGGTTGGGAGCGGACGTTCAGGCGTTCGCGGACGACATTGTCCTGGTGTTTTCCGGGCACACGGCGCTAGGGATCCAAAGAGACACCAACGCCGCTCAGGCGCGCGCGCGCGGTTACGTTATGAATAAGCTCCGCTTTTCTACCCAAAAAACACAGTGGATGGTTGTTACTCGTAAGCTTAAGTATGACTCACAAATCGTGTGAATGGATGCCGTCGACATCTCGATGGTGAACGAGCTAAAGATCCTCGGAGTCATCGTCGACAGCAAGCTAACATTTAATCATCATGTCCCCTACATCTGTAAAAAGGCTACAAACTTGTATAGGAAACTGTCGACGATAACTCGGATAGAGTGGCGCTTGTGCCCGGAGATTATCAGGGCGATATATATCGCAGTCGTGGAGCCGATAATACTGTACGGCGGCAGTGCCTGGGCGAAGACCAACGAGAAGATCTCTGTGCAAAAGATCCTCGCCTCCGTCCAAAGGGGCTTTGCGCAAAAGATTTACAAATCACACCGTACAGTGTCGCTCAATGCTGCACTCCTATTGTTGGGTCTCCTCCAACTCGATTCTCAAATCTGGGAGGCGGCACGGCTTTTTGAGTGCAAGAGGGGTCGACCAATCGACGAGCTAGATCTCCGTGAACTGGAAGAGCGTGAGGCCTTTATAAGGGCCCCCACATCCTGCCATCTAATATCAATGTCTGGAGAATATGCTCCCCGAAACTGTGGCTCAACTGCAGCTCCCCGCTCATCTGATTTACACGGACGGTTGCAAATCAGCAGACGGAGACAGAGCAGCTTATTCCTACTGGCGGGATATTGACCGGGACACAACCGCGACAGATGCCACCTGGAAGTAAGTACTGGAATGACATTTAATGAATTAACAATCGCCGAAACAATGACAAACAAACACTCCATGCCGCATCTGGAATGGTTCCGTCTCAAAATAGCGGAAATAGCGATGAAAAGGAAAATGAGAACAGAAAAGAACAGGAAACCTAAAAAAACAAATAGAAACAGTAATGAAGGAGAAAATAGAAGGAAGACAAACATAAATAAAATCAGATACTATAAAGAAAACGTAGAATGTAAAAGAACAACCATAGAAAAAGAGCGATTAACAAAACGGCTAATGTCGCAATACAAAAATCATAAAAAAAAACACGGTGGAAATATAAAGTTTACTCCAAATTCTTGCCACTCAAGTAAGAAACGAGACGGCGGCAAAAAAAAACAGATACACGGTTGCAGAAATTATATTTAGGATAAAATCAACATTCCTAAGTCTCAAACCTGGCTATCTAAGCTACATCTCTTGAATATCATGTTTCGTTAGCAGCGTTGGATTTGATAAAATAATTGATTACGAGAGGAGTTGTTACAAAACTATCACTTGATATATTTTAGTAATTATTGTTATCTATTCGTTGTCGACTGTTGTTTCGTCGTCCATATATTCTGTAGTTTTTTACGATTAATATGAAAGACTTTTGCTTTATTTTGGTTTAAATTGTTACAAATTTAGAATAATACGGCTTTGTCCTAGGACGCTAGGACAAGACAGAATAGCAGATGTGAATAGTTTTTTTCCTAAAAAGAAAGTTGCAAATTAACTACCTTTTTCATCACCTTATCCTACTCCCTTAGTGTCAATGTCTGTTTCTGTTCTCCAGGTCGTCTCTCCCTTCTTGATATTTGTTCCATATATGAAAAACCCTTAACATATTTTGCTGTCGGCCGCCTGTCTATCTCCAACCCTACTTATGATTATAGCGACGTCTCTATACAAAATAAATTACGTTAAGAAATGAAGCTTAGGTATATATTTGGAATACTTTTCAACCTTTATGCTATAGTTTTTAAAAATCTTTTTGAATTGAATGTTGGAAACCGTTGTAAAGTGTCGAAACACCAGCGCTGAAGTCGGCAGACCGGAACGTCATGGTCCGTCGCTCGCGCACCGGACACCGACAAACTAGATCATCAACCGATATAAACATATTTTTATAAATCATTTTTTAAAATTTTGGCTGTTTAATTACCTTTTGGCACTTAGAAAGGATCTAAGTAATGGTTTTTATCTGACAAAAAATGTTTTATTTCATGCTGTCAACAGAAAGTTTTCCGCTAGTATTTTCAAGGTAATGTTTTTGGATCTTCCCAGAAATGGTCACTCAAAGATGAATGAAGCAAAAGTTAAATTATTTTTGTTTTATAGGTCAATGAACTACTGGTCCAAAATTTAATTGTTTCACTTGATCTTTTATGCTAGAAAGGTCTTCTACGAGTATCAACTATTAAAAGACCAAAGAGTTAATAAAACTAGGAAGTGACAATTGAATTAGTCGTTGCATGTGCGTTCATTAGGGCTGCCACCGTCTTTCTTACACCTGTCCTATAAGGACTAAACTAGTCTTTGACCAATTAAAAATCGCAACAAACTAATGCGGATTAGCATAATTTTTTTTTGCCAAGTTATCTTTATTACTTACATTTGTGACAAAAATTATGTTTTTATGATTGCAAAATGTAAGCGTAGTGATGACCCTAGAGATAACTAATAGAACAATAAAGTGTGTCACCTCGGGTCGCGTAATATACGCCGGGTTGTAGCAGGAGATGCACGGTACACGACCAGTCCGATCCGACATCCTCGCATTTCTGAAATAATTGCGTTCGAAATTTGAATTTTCATTTTGTTTGTCTGCTGGCCAGTGTTGGAACTTTTTGGTTGCAAGTGTTGTAGTATTCGCATGGATGTGGCACTTTTTGGCGCGAAACAAGCAAGCTGCCGTGATGCTGGGAGTGCTGGCAGCGGCCGCGCTGGTGGTAGTCCTTTTGGCGACGAAGGGCGCCAGCCTCGCGGTTGTGGAGAACCTTTCTACGGAAACGGATGACGTCAGTGATGATCCCTACGTATTCTCCACTTACAGGTGTGTTGATTGCATACTAACAAGCCCTATAGGGAATGAGGTTTTAGGTCCTATTTGTAGGGTCTGAAATTTGAATTAACAATGTACAATTTATTTAAATTTATTTAAAAAGAATGAAAACTGAGTCAATTAGTTCGTAGAACGACATTGTTTTTTAATTATTATCAATGAATGTAGCTAATTTTTGCTTCTGATTCACCGCCAATCAACGGTTCTTATCAAGTTACTGTTTGTAAAAAAAATAACTGTTCATAGCAAATGTTTTTAACGATTTTATTTTAAAACTGTAATGCCAGTGTTCAGTTTTCTACTAATACTACCTAAAATTTGGGTGAAAATTCGACAAAAAGTTTCAAAATAGAGGACATTCTTGATGACAAAAGACAACACCGACCGAGATAAAATTTATAACACGCCTGTTGAATTTGAATACCTAAATTACTCAAGAAATTATTCAAGGTGTTTTGATTTTTTTTATCAAGAATGATGTAAACAATTGTTTTCAGTCTACCATCAGACGATCGGTTCATGCCATCTATCGGGAATGGTCACCTGGCGACTAATATCTTCAGCGATACGGTTTACATGAATGGCTTGTACAACGGCTTCAAAGGGGAGAGTCATCGCGCTAGGATTCCTTCCTGGGCGAACATCAGATTGAATTCAACCCTGACACGGAATCCCTACAGTCCCATGTACAGTCTGGATACAAAGCATGGAGTGTTTACTGTTACTGTGGACAGAGAGAGATCGGTTGTCACGCAGAGGATCTATGCACACAGATTTTATACGAGAGCAATCATTAATCAGATACAAGTCGCTTCCAAACATCGTCCGGGTAAGGATATTGATTAGTAAAGCAATAGTCGCTTTTATAGAATCATGTCATATATTTACGCAATTTGTTTCATATTTTCTAGTTCATTTTACATTGTGTAAAACACAATAAAGACTTGATGCAATTATGTGTTATTGCGTTATGGCTATTTCGTTGCAAAAGGCGCTTCATTCTCTTCTAATGAAAAGTTTTATCTTGCGAAATAATGAATCTGTTTTACAACAATTTGTATTAAATTGCAGCTTCATTCTAATCGTTCTTTAATTTTTAGATCCAAATTTCATTCACCCTGAGATATGGATAGCTTTAAAACTGATGCCAGGACCGGCCAGTGTCGATATAGCGTTCGAAGGACCGATACCAGAGATTATAGACGGCCGTACTGTGTGGAGCGTCTGTGGTCAGACGAAGGTCTCCGAAGATCCGACGTACCAGCCTCTACCAGTTGATGTGTGCGCATATTGGACCTCTGTGCCGGACCATTTAGTGGTCCCACAACACGGGACCCGAGTGTTTACATTCGCTATGACAGCGGACAAAAATAAAACCGTAGCGAGAGATGAACTTATAAAAGGTAAATATAGTTTTTGTTAATTTTAAAATGTTGGTATTCACGTATTTACTACATAATTGTTATTTGCGTAGTATTACAGATAGATGGCGAGGAGCTGTTTGACAAGCACGTTGAGCAGTGGCAGCGATTATATAGACAAGCTGGAGTGCATGTTGAGGGCAATTTAAAATTAGTATGTATGGATCAATATCAAATTTTAGTTGTATTTGAAGTTATGAGGTTTTGAACTATAATTTTGCAAGAATGAGAAATGTTTACTTTTTCATTTTACATTTAGACAATATAATATATAAGGAGAACGTTAGTTATGAGTGTGAAAGGGTAGAGGTAGACCTGAAAGGGATGGATTGCGTAAAAGGTGTCATGATCAAAAAGGCACTGACTGAGATGACGTATGATAGAGTTATATGGAGAACAAAAACCTTTTGCGCCGACCTTACGGGAGTAGGATAAGTAGAAAGACGATGATTTAGACAATGTAATTTTCTAGGCTAAAATAGTCAATGGAATCTGGTACTATTTCCTGAGCTCCCTGCCCGCTGAAGAGTCACATCATCCGTTGGACCGTTACTTTGGTCTCAGTCCTACAGGACTCGCGAGAGGCGGAACATTTGATGATTATGAAGGTATGCTTTCAATAATAATAACGATACAAACACTAACAGCTAACAGATACAAAAGACAATCGTTTCTTTCCATTTCTATACCTAACTTGTGTCCAGTGGTCCAAACCAAATACTACTCGTAGATACATAAGCTGATTTTTGATACAATATCTAAAAATAGCTTACTGGCTGGTTCGAAATTAGTGTATTTCTATATCCAAATATTTCCCATGTACTGAATACTCGATCACTATTAATATCTACATTAACAATACCTAAATCCATGTTGCTAATGGAAATTTTAACGCATTGTGTACATGTTAAAAAAAGTCGTTTGTATGAGAAAAGATCGAAGGTCGGCCGTAGCACTGCTTTTCTAAAAGTGACATTTTAAAAGAAAAAAAATAAATGTTTTAATTTCTACAACAACAAAAACAACCAATTAATTAAAAAAGACATTAGTGACACATCCAGTGCGCTGGATTTATGTCGCCAAAGACAGAGATAAATGGAAATCTTTGGAGGAGGCCTTCATCTGAGGGTCCATGCAAATAGAAAATATTTAAATAACAACTTGGATATAATTAACATAGCTAATTCATAAATAATAAAATATAGTATTTAGGATACATTTGATTATTTATCAAAATTGTTTCAACTTTGTTTTCAATACGTACTCACGCATGTATTCGCATTGATACACACGCGCACTTGCAAAAACACACACCAACTTATATTTTAACATATAATATTAAATATCTCTTTAAATGTAGCAACTAACTGTTAATACAATTTGATAACGTATAAGAGAAAGTCCTGTCTCCTGAAAAACAGTTGCATAATTGTTTGTCTAAGTTTCTTTATTATTTTTTATATGTTATAAACTAAGCGACCAGTGGTTACACATAAATTCTGTGGGTTTCTGTACCGCATACAACACTTCTTTATTTTTTTTAATTTATGTTTTTGTCCAATAAAATAAAAAAAAATTAGTTTAGGAGGCAGACCCACAATGAATTTTGTGAAAATGTTTTATTTTGTCCAATAAAGAGTTTTTTTTTTAATTTTGTTAACTTTAAATTGCATGAAATAAAAGGCTTTTTTGTTTTTTTTTTTTTACTTTTTGTCAAATTAAAAGATAAAATTTTTTTTTATGTATAGGTATTAAGTTTTCTAAGTCTTCTATTTAAAAATTTTATGAATAAAGGTTAGTATCTTTGGGGACCACTTTCAAAAAACAAAAACGATTCTGATAAAAAAGATGTCGGGTTTGTGATCTGGAACTACTAGGAATCAACGGGGAAATTAAAAGCGCATCTAAAGAGGCACTTGGATGCATACATCCGAGTCGTAACTGTACAGCAACAATTTGTTGACCTTACGGTCAGGACTACAGAGTCCCAGCTAATCTGTGTTCCTGTGATAATAACATATTACTACCACACCTACAATGGCCCACAGCCAAAATGGTCCATGTACATCCTCTACACCGGTCGCTCCGTCATCGTCTACATCACTGTTAAACAGCAGACCACAATGAAATTGTATGGATCAAGTACGAAAATTTCTAGTGAGGTCAAAAGAAAAATTGACAGCGATCTTTTAGATTTGTTTGTGTCTAGTTATCAGCCGTTTTCGCTTGTTGAGGAAAAAGCTTTTTTAAAATTACGAGATGGATTCCGGGTTATCAACTGCCGTAAAGCCATATCACACAATTTGATACCCAATCTCTACAACAGCAAAAGAAAAAATGAAAACGGAATTCATGTCGTCAAACATAGAAAAGATTTGCCAAACAGCGGATTTGTGGACATCTAGGATAAATGAGTCTTATATGGCAATAACCGGACATTATTTAACGGAATACCTTAAATTAAAGACAGTGTTATTGGATTGTTTTCATATTGAATGTTCACACACATCAGAAAACATTCAACATGTTTTAATTAAATTAACCGAAGAATGGTGTATAAAAGATAAAATAAATTTTATTGTAACTGACAATTCAGCAAACATTTTAGAAGCTGTTTCCGACATAGGTTGGAGACACTATCGATGTTATGGTCACACCTTAAACCTTATAGTCCAAGCTGCTTTACGACAATTTGATACATCTTTAGAAAAAGTTGAAAAAACTGTTCGTTTTTTCAAAACGAGCAATCCAGCGTTACTAAAACTATTAAAAACACAATGTAATGACGTTCCTAATTGTATTCCAAAGCGATTAGTGCAAGAAGTGCCTACACGATGGAATTCCACATTCCACATGTTGCAACGTTTTGTGGAATTAGAACAGTATGTAAAATCAACAGTTCCTGTCTTAAAAAAAGACTTACCTGCTATTTCTGAAGAGGAATGGCAATTTATTGGAGAATTGTGCAAAATTTTTGATGAAACCATTCAAACTATGAGCTGAAGTTTTCAGAACCTGCACGGTCCTGCATAATCTGTTTACGATCGGGACTTGTAACAAGGTTTGAAAATATTGAAAAAAGCGGGACATTTTCGGTGTGTACAGTTTTAGATCCACGCTATAAATTAGCAGTATTTAAAGATGAAAATTACGCGAGAACTGCTCGGAAAAAGTCCAAGATCTTCCGACCGATCTTATCGCCAGTAATGATAACGATAGTGAAGATCTGCCGCCTCAACCCGTGTTAGCTGATAAATTTTCACCATGGTAATTCTCCAAAATATGGTAGGACAAAAGTTCAGTGTAGGTACTCCATTATCCAAGGCTATTAAAGAACTGGACACATATTAATGATGACATCTTACCAGCCTTTTCTAGAGATGGTAAATTTAACTGCCCTTTGGAGTGGTGGCGAAAACATATGTTTACTTATCCAAACTTGACTAAGTTGCTGCGAACATATGGCAAAATCATGGCGTCATCAGTACCATGCGAACGCATTTTTAATAAGGCAGGATTGATAATTAATGATCGCCGAACGAGACTTTCGACAGATAAAGTCAGACAGCTAACGTTTCTTAAGTTGAATGCCAGCATATCAACATAAGGAAAAGGCATTAACTATTAAACAAACAAAACGTTTTCGTCATCGAAGTCGAAACAACAAGCACAAGTAACAACCGGTTAACAGTGCGATAAATAAAGCAAGACAACACCAAACAAATCAGATTAAAAAACAAGAAGAGAATTAACAAAACCGATGTTGAGAAAGTCAATATATACTTGTATAGCGAGACAATATATTTAACATCGTGTATTACATATGTCACAGCGCCATCTATTACCAAGCGGCAGCAAAATGACGCTAACCAAAAACTTTACATTACTTTTGTATTTCTTTCAATATTGATGAAAATCTGTGTGTTTTTAACAATCCTCTATTAATATTAAATAAAAAGTGTTAATTTCATCACTGTTTTTTCATAGAACATGTGTTTTCAGGTCATAACTTTTGGGACACAGAGATGTGGATGTACCCCGGCATCCTGCTACTATACCCTCAATACGCGCACGCACTGCTTCAGTATAGACTTGAGACAGCGTATGTCGCTGCACACATCGCGAGAAGCACGGGACATAAAGGATATAGGTATCTAAAAATCTAAGTAATAACTAATGAAACGGTCTATTTCTTTTAAATGTTTCAACAAGTAACGAAACAAAATTTTAATGTCAGTGACCGTCGTTACTTATATAAACCTTTTTTTACGCCATTTAATAAATATTCTAGTCTATTACTACAAGTAAATAGTTCTGAATACGTTTAATTTATCTAAATAAAAAAGTTTAATGTAATTTTATAAACATGTTTACATTTTTTGCACCAACCTTTTATGGTATTTTGTCTGTTCGATCACAGATGGCGCTGTTAGTTATATTTTAGTTTAAAATATAATTTCTTGCTAATATTTATTTGTAGATTTCCATGGGAGAGCGCGTACACGGGCACAGAGGTGACACAGCCCTGTTGTCCGGAGGTGGCAGAGTTCGAGCAGCACGTGTCTGGTTGTATCTCCTTCGCTGCCCGACAGTACCTCGCCACCACTAGAGATGAAGAATGGTTAGAGGTAATATTACACATGTATGTAACAGAAATTAGAAGAATTCGACCCGCGAATAGAGTAACATATGTCTGAGATCTCTTACTACTCTTGTTATTTTTATTGACGCTTTATCAATCAGTTTTTCTAGAAGAAATAATAACGGAACTTACTTATTTAATGAGCTAAATATTGATTTCTTCATCTATTGTTTTGCGAAGCCTAATTTATACGTGTTATTTGAAAATGTGATGTTTTCTCTTTCCAGCAAGGTGGCTGTTCTCTAGTAACGAACATAGCTGACTTCTGGGCATCGCGTGCTGTCATCAATTATACCACTGGCTTCTACGACATCGAAAGTGAGTTTAATATATTTTACCCTCGTACTAATTGTCTCTTATAACATCGCTTTTATAATTCTTTAGTAGTAACTAGATTTCGACCGCGACTCAGTCCGCGTGGAAATGAAAAAAAAGAAAAGCGAAAGGCCTATGTCTTTATCCAGACTTTGTTCTACATCGATTCCAAATTTTATTGAGATCCGTTCAGCAGTTTAAGCTACAATTTCTAACAAACAAAATAATCGCATTTATTTTAGTAAGATATAGTAGGTTTATATTTTAATTAGTGTTTTCATTGTTTATATTTCATATTTTCATATTTCAGATGTCATGGGTCCTGATGAAGACCACAGTAATGTGACCAATTCAGCCTTCACTAATGTTGTCGCCGGATATTCGCTGTATTTAGCTCAGTAAGTAATGCAATTGCATCGACTCATCAGACCTGGAATTACCTTTCTTTGGAAATATTACCTCTGATAACTGTTATTTAATGTTTACATAATATACATAAGACCCTTATTTCACTCAGCGGTTATGTACACGACTTCAAACGCATGCAGGTTTCATAAAAAAGTAACAATTAAATGAAAATAGAATCTAAAGTCTAAGGTAATAAGTCCATAATTTTTAAATTTATTGATTAGTGACATCTATTGGCAATTAATTTAAATAAATTAATGGCTTTGAAGATCTATCAATAGATGGCGTTATTGACGAGTGAAAAATGTCTCAAATAGAGTGTCAACTTTTCTATACATTTTTTAAAGCTATTTTTTTTGTATCTTTTTTTTGTCACAAACGTTTTATAATTTTAGATATGTAGCATGCCTTTGCAAGGATTATTACATGTCCCACGAGCCGGAGCACTACGCGGATATCGCGTGGAGTCTCGCGCTGCCGTACGACGCTGACCTCGACTACCACCCGCAGTACAATGGCTATCCACGCGGGGAGGACATCAAGCAGGCTGATGTTGTATTACTCGGGTTCCCGCTACAGTATACTATGAATGAGTACGTTTATATTTTAACTAGCTGTTGCTCTCGACTTCGCCCATAAGAATTTAAAAAAATATTCAAAATATAGACTATGTCACTCACTGATAAATTACCTTTGTAATGCTGAAAGAATTTTTTCACGATCCTACAGAGAAAGCCTTGGCATATTGCGGTAAAATTTGGAAATGATCCTTGCAAATTTGAAAGTGATGTATTTCACATTAGAGACTTGAAACGCCCCCCAGGCGGGGAATCTTAGTTACTTACCATAAACAATTTACAATTATAATAGTAACTAGCTTTCGCCCGCGACTCCGTCCGCGTGGTATTAAAAAACAAAAGTGAGTGGCCTATGTGTTCTTCCAGACTATCCTCTACATCTATATAAAATTTCATCGCAATCCGTTCAACCGTTTAAGCTACAAGCTCTAACAAACATCCATCCATCCATCCAAACTTTTACATTTATAATTAAGATTAGTAAGATTGTGTTTTACTGTTACTTTACTGTTTATTGTGTTTTCCGTCTAGATCTACAAGAGTGAACGATCTTTCGTACTACGAGTCTGTAACTCGCAGTAACGGACCAGCGATGACTTGGAGTATGCACGCAGTGGGACATCTGCGGCTGGGAGACACTCTGCGCGCCCACAAGATGTTTAACAAGAGTTATAACGCCTACGTTAGGGAACCTTTTAAGGTAACTTTTAAAAATAAATACGGCAATTAAATGAGATTATTTGTTTATTGAACTTAACTCTTAAATGCATGATATGCATTTATACAGTCTTTTCTTCCTTACGCAATAGACTATTTGGAAAAAGATTTTATTTTTCCTTAATCTATGTTCAATTTATGGTATTTTAAACGAACATATCATGCATTTAAGGCTTGTCTTTTGAAGTACCTTTATTAATATTATAAACTAGCTGTTCCCGTGCGGCTTCATCCGCGTGAAATTGTGCAAATTTTATTTTATTGTTTACATTTGTCAAATTGTCAAAATGACATGACACGACAAACCTTGGCAATCTTACTTTCTTGATGTTGGCAGCAACTTATAGTCTCTCTCCCACATTAGGGTTTTTATCCAAAATATATACCCCATAGGTTTAATGGCGTGAAAAGATATAACCTAAAGCGTGACGTGAAAATATGCTGTATTATAATAGTATAGATGAGAGTTTTGGATGGATGGATGTTTGTATGAGTTAATCGAGATGCATCGCTATTGTATGTCTCGATAATTGTATCTCGATGTTTGTATAAGCTACAAACATCCATCTATCTATTTTGCATTTATAACATTAGTGAGATTTCACATTATACAAAATTAATGACATTCTAGGTTCTTTTCTAATTCAATTGCTTTCAATTTGACAAAGTTTAATATGGTAGGTGTGGAGCGAGCTGCGTCGTCCTGATGTAGGTGCTGTGAACTTCCACACCGGGATGGGCGGGTTCCTCCAAATGTTGATGTTTGGTTACGCTGGTCTCGGAGTGTACCTCGACAGGTTGGAGATCAACCGTCCTCAGTTGCCGCCGCAGACCAACAAGTTGAAGATAAGAGGTGATTGAAAAAAAACAATGATCTAGATTTTTTTTAGTATATCCATTTTAAATTTTTACCGTTTATCATACTAATTATCAATTTGAATTCAAACCCAGTTTCGTGGACATCAGGAGAGAAAAGGGATCCAGTTGCCCCCAATAAGGACAATATATCTTATAATAAAAGTTTCGATGGGAGGTTGTTTGTTAAAGTATCCCACTTTCAGGGTGGAACTTAACTCTAGATAGTCTGAAAAAATATGGGCTACTTATTTTGTTTTTTTTTTAATGCCACAGTGACATGTTCAAAAGTAAAAGTTAGATGTAAGTAAATATTAAAACTTCTCAAAGACTATTTTAATAGCTTAATTAACTTAATCTTGATTTTTGTCTGGCAACGTCCATGACCAGTTTTATAAATTTATTATCTAGGTATAAAATATCTGGGAGCGAATTTGACTCTGGACATAGACGTAGATGACATCAGTCTGACGGTGACCAGCGTCGACGACAACTGGCCTTTAATCATCAATAACGGGAAGTACAATGTCACACTGGTGCCAGGATTGACAGGTATTGTTTTTATATATATGTCGCAATGAGAAGGAGAAATCAATTTGAATTGAAGTCATAATTAAAACAAGAGCGCCGCAAAGCGACTTTCGTGAGAACTTAGATTGTGCTGAAAATAGGGATCGTTGCGAGACCGTTTTATGAGCTTGGTAGATTGATGATATCCTGACTGAGGAGTATTGTGAATGTATTCCTTGAATCCGACTTTACCCATGGCCGCCCACATTTGGTCTCGAGTAGTAATTCTGATATCGTGCTAGCTCAAGCCGACATATATATTTAGAGCACACCATTGACTGAACTATCGCACAACTGTTGTGATTGTCGATTGTTTCGCAGCCAATTCAACTGTTTAGTTGCACAACTAAAAATCGAGTAGTCACCTCCATATAAGCTCATAGGAATCATGGCGAGACTAAACAGTTTTGCGATAGTTTGTTCAAGTGTGCGAACGCTCTAGCTGTATTTAAAATATTGCTATCTCTTTTTAATGTCAATGATTTTGTTTAAATTAGTTTTTTTACAAGAAGCTTGGGTAGTTCAGGGGTTTCTAGTAAACTGCAGGTCCTGGGTTCGAATCCCGCTATGTAATGTTTTTCCAATTTCATATGTAATTTTTATGAGATTAAATTCTTCATAAATATCTTTGTTTTAGTGACATTATCAGGAGATGGACCATTTACAATACGTTCTAACCAGTGGAAGGACTGCAAAGTACCTGCTGACGTCATCGGACAGAGTTATCTTAGACCTATCAAAAATTAATGTACCAAAGATTAAATTAACAATTTTGTTAGAGAAATATTTGTACCTATTGTTTTAACTTCATTGGACATCAGTATCAAATTAAGTTACATTTTATTTTAACAATTTCTACGCGAGCCTAGTCATTTATCTTTTGTATTATTAATGTAAAACTATTTGTTTTAATTTTAAGAATTATTTACCTTCATGATAAAAAAATACGTCTAAAACCAGTAAACTTATTTTCTATTTACGGACGCCAATGTAATTAATGTCACAATTACGTAAGTGTTTTCGAATTTGTTATTCAAGTTGATTTGACCCTTTAGAAATTATAATTAGCTGATCTTAAAAATATTGTTCTAATTATATCCAAGTATGCCTGATGTTGAAACCTGAAACTGCTGATGCTACGGGGTATAGAATTTCTTGTTATTGACATCGATATAGTGCGACTTATTTATCTGACCCGGTAGGCAAAAGTGAAGATGATGTCACCTGATGGGAGTGCCCGCATATGTAATAAAACAGTGCCGGCGTTAAGATAGGGCGCGGTTTGGTCGTTCAGGGCGCCTGATAGAAAACGCTACTGGCCTTAGCGTGCCCGAGGGTTAATTTTAGTCCCTTTCTATTCTTTTCTTTTAAAGATTGGATGGGCAGAGGTAGTAGATTAGACAGTGGAGGAGATGCACAAGGAGAAATATCCTCTTTTAGTGCATCTCCTCCTCTGTCGATTAAGGGCCTACCCTTGCGGATGTCTGGGCAGCGGTTAATTCGCCATCTTGGCGGATTCAAGCGGCCGCCGTTTTCCACCTTATGATATTAAAAAAATGGTAAAGTGTAGGCTTTTTTGGCAGATTTAATTGCGATATAATCGCCAAGTCCTACCGGGTAAATATATTTGTAGCACTATATATTTGATGGTATAACTTCAGTCTGTAATATTTAATCTATCTGAACTAATTTGGACACGTGGAAAAAATTTGGCTGACTATTTAACTGAACAAGTGCATTGACATGAATGTACATAGTGAATCATCGCTTTTATTTATTGCAATAGAAACAGAAATATTACTTAATAAATTGTTATAACTCATACGAAGAATGTATCACGTTCAAATTTTAAATAAACATACTTAACAGTATTATTTTATTTCTTACAATTGCAGTTAGAATTTCCGAATATTAGGAATAATTCCTTTCCCCTGCGACACCGTCACCGTGGAATTAAAGAAAAATGTGTTAGGTAGCTTATGTGTTATTTCAGATTTTTGTACATGTGCCCAAATTCAGCGAGATTCGTTAGGAGACTTGTTAGTAATAAACATTCCTCCAAATTATAGTAAAATATCTACTTATTTAAATAATGTATAAATTACACATAATTACAATTGACAAAAAATATACATCTCACACTAGATCTTATTGAAACCGCAGCCAATGGCCCATGATCGGGCAATCGGGCTTGTCACTTAGCTCTCTTAGGATGCTGTTGGTACTCTACCGAACCCTACGTAAAAGAGAAGCCGTCCATTTGCGCAGTATGGCGTTAAAGCCGTCATCTCTGACACACTGCAGTATCGGGGGAGCCCCAGCAGCATCCTAAGGCTGTTATTATGTTGGACGCGGAGGGCATTGATAGCCGTTGCTATTGAAGTTTCTAGAAATAAAACAATACCGACACAAATCAATGTAGGTAATATGTAATAGTCATATGTTGAAAGGATACTGCGATTAAACAATGAGGTCATTTCAGCAATAAGTTATTGACACATCGAAAACATGTTTATTTGAGTTTTGCAATATACATTTTTTAGAATTGTCTCTTAGATGTTACAAAACTAAGAAATAGAATAACTGCTTGCTTGGACCTTGACCTGCGTATGACGTCTTTTGAATTCAATTTTATTTGAATTTCGAAAACCAAATAAGGATAATACTGACTTTAATATAATATATGATTTGTTTTATTTTTATTTATTTTCGTTCACGTCAGTAATTCACTATTTGAATAGATTTTTTAATATGTTAACGATACGATTGAACATGAACTTTGACCTACATATTTTAACTATAAGTAAAGTCACTTTTCTCATTTTAAGTTGAAAGAAACTAGTTACTAAAATGAGAAAAGTTGAAATGTTTTGTCACAAGGAAAAACAATTGAAATACGTCATTTTTCCAGTTTAATACAAACCAGATAATATCAAACTTTCTAGATAGTTCAGTAGAAACTGAAAGCAATAAAATAATGTAATTTTACTAAGTATAACGTCTATTTTTATTGATAGCATCTATGTGCAACATCATCTTGCCCGTATCCCTTACGGAGGGTCGGCACAGTATGTGCTGCTCTTCCATACATCTCTATCAGCCGTCATATCTGAATCCACTCCTTTCTTAAGCATATCCTCTTTAACGCAATCTATCTACACTTTCTTCGATCTTCCTCTTGCTTTGTAGCCATCCACATTCATTCTTAACACTTTCTGGTTTATGTCCCCATCGTCTCGTCGCATAACATATCCATACCACGCTTACCTTTTACTTCTTAATATTTATTTATTTATTTTTCTAAGTGCAACAATGAATTGTATTTAAAAAACGTTCGTAGCATTTTTTAATTCATATACGAGACTGCTCAAACATCAATGGCTCCAAGCAAACAATATCAAAACGTCCCACGTAAAATGCAGTCAAAGTTCATTGATAAAAACAACGCAACTGACATTCCGTTATCTCATAACCGCGATAAAAATATTGATAATTAAAATTATGTTTAACTAGTGGTTGGCCGCGACTTCACCGCAGATTTAAAAAAGTAGCCTATGTTATTCCAGCACATATGTACACATTTCCCAAAGATCTGTTAAAATTAACTTCAACCGTTTTGTAGGTTACCAGGAACAATCGCAAATTTTCGGACAGCCTAACAAAAAAAATAACAACCTGTTTCTGAAAACTGTATTGATTTATCTTTATTGTATAGATAAAGGTATTTTTTATTTTGTTACTTTATTACATACTCTACTCGATAAAAATTTTATTCATCTACATTCTAATCTTAAGTATTATGGGCTATTTAACTCAATTAAAACTCCTTAAAAAAAAAACGATAAATCTAGTTGCGTCTACAGTCAAATATAGCTCTTATACTAGAGGGATCTGATGGATTGGCTGAAAAAATAACAATGGGTTTTGGTTACTCTAAATGAAACGCCGTAAGTACTTCCATTTTAAATTTAATAAATAGACATCTCTTTAAAAATTCACATAGAAAAATTGATTTTAGATTTCATGATAAAATACGAATATACTGCACATAAGGCAACAACATTAAGGTAATATGCATTCGATCATTTTTAATACAAAATACGAGATTCTATCAAAATGTAAAAGCTTAATTGTTATAATAAACCGATAGATGTCACTTTTTGAAGACAAAACAAATCGACTCAAGCGTCGTAAATGGTTTAAATAAGAAGCTATTTTCTGTTATTCTTTTAGATAAAAAGTTTCAAATTACCAATAGTTTTTTGTACTTTTAAAACATTTTTTTTTATTCGAGCAATGACTTTTTACATTTACATGTAAATAATATTTTTAATTTTTATAGTAACAATATAACAGATTTTTTTTTAAAATGATGGTGCTACATTTAGCTTGTAACAATGAATAACATATATTTTATTATAATTGGGAACTCTTAAATTACAATATACAAGCTTAATATCGTTTCTCAACACTCAACTATCACTTATAGATTTTTACTTTGAGGTATATTATTATCTCTTCGACGAAAAGAGTCACATCTGATAGGATTGCTTATGTAACTCTTTTCCGTCTAATGATTGAATTTATTGTAAACTAGCTGTTCCCGTGCGGCTTCATCCGCATGAAATTGTGAAAATTTTATTTTATCGTTTCCATGTGTCAAATTATCAAGAGCAAATGTCAAAATGACATGACATGAAAAACCTTGACAGTCTTGCTTCCTTGATGTTGACAGCAATTTATGGTCTCTTTCCCAGATTAGGGTTTTTATCCAAAATATTTACCCCCCAAGTTTAATGACGTGAAAATATATAGCCTAAAGCGTGACGTAAGTGTGGGGCTTTTTATTAAGAACAGAATTATTCAAAAATATGCTGTAATTGCTGACATCTTAGGCAACAAAGAAGTGTGAGTTTACGCTTTATTATAATAGTATAGATAAATCTGTTTAAAAATTGGAATTGTAAAGTAAATCATAAATTACATGGAATAAAATGACATATTATGACACCAAAGGCCTGTCCCACCAAAGTGTAAATTGTCTGATAATCCGACGTCTATAATTTGATGGAAATATCGGATTTTGTTTCCTTATCTGACAGTGACGTCACCTTTAAGCTTCCTGGGCCTCAATCAGTCGTGGTGGGACATGCCCTCTTCGATTTTTATGATTATCAATAACGTTTCTCTTATAATACTTTTTTTTTTCTCACTCATACATACATCATACAACTTATGTTATTTACATAAATAGATGCATTATATCTTAGATTAAACTGGTACTAAAGCTAGTTACACGCACAGTTCTGACAGTTTTAACTGAACAGTTTAAATCTTCAGTTAAAACTGTCAGAACAGCGTGAGTTAGAACTTTTTTATGTATAATTCTAAAACTACAACATAAGTGTACTCATATTCGTGTTAAAAACACATCTTTGTACATAAAACAGCTTTCACTAGTCAAAAATACCAATGGTTCTCGAAGTACACGGTACCGGCGTTAGGGTAGAGCGAAGTGGTGCGTCAGCCCAGGGCGCCAGAGATAAAGGGCGTTACAGAAGTTTTGAAATCCCGCCCAGGGCCCTTGTAATACTTAAACCGACCTTCAACCTTGCTCTATCCAAGATCATAGCCGACTATATTATCTAAATCGTAATTGAATACTCTATAATCATATTTGTATAGTTTGTACAGACGTCTTATAAGAGGTAGGTCGAGTTGGGAGAAATATTTGTGCAGTTTTTCAGCAGTGCCTGAAGTGTGCGCCAGTCTGGGAAACTGGATGTAGGAAGCGTTTATAGTGTTCAAAGCTAGAAGAGAATCGTCCAGCAGTGTCTCGTATTTACCTGGGGATAGAAAGAAATTCAATAAATTTTTGTTATACTGAAATGGTTAGTACGTGTTTCTAATACGTTTGCGCTGCAACTGGAAATATATTTAGAATGCTTAAACGTGTTTTAAAACTAATTTAAATTTTGTTGTTCAAACAAATAGTTCTGTTTATTAAATAACTTTGTTTTCAATTTGTTTTAATTCAGCATTTTAACATTAGTTTAATTGCAGATTTTGAGTTTAATTAAATAAAATTAATTATGACGTTAATTGTCGCAATCTCTATTGTTATTCACCGTTATAAAACTATTGTTTGTTTAAAGTTGAAAGAAATAATGTTGAAATTATGTACATTACTTTACGAACTTTTGCAGCAATCTTTATTTTCTGTAGACTTGATTCTGTCGTGTCTGCACAAATCGATCAGACATCTTTGACGTCATCTTTAATTATTATCTCAGTTTAAACATGTCTCTTGTTACGTATATTGATTCCCAATGGTATTGTCCAATGTACATACGAATATTTGCTAAGCGTTTGGTTTCGCTTTGTCTGGGTATCGACCCTTGATTTTACACTACGTGAGCAGTTTAAGTTTTAATTTAGGGTACATTAATTATGATTGTTTTATCTGAATACAGTTTATTATATTATATGAGTAATATTTACGCAAATTACTAATTTGAAATAATCAAGTTACACTTTAAATATTGCCTAATTCACATTACAGTCGATGAAACCAGTCCAGCATCAGCCACACACCATTTCTATGTGTTGAACATTTAATCCAGCGGAAATTCGGTCACTGGATTGGAATAATGTAAATAGGTAATTAACCAAGAGTTATCGTAAAGGTCAGGAACATCGAGGTATGTATGAAAGCATAAAAGTATGAGATAACTTTGACCAGTCTCAAGTTCAAACAGTATTTTTAAACCCAAGGTCGTTTATAATTTAATTTTGAATTTTGTGTTAGTTAATAAATAAATTTAATTTGTCGTACATGCAAGGATGTCAAATGGACGGCCATGTTATAATATGACCTTGACATAGGTTTTCGTTTTAAAAAAACGCATATCTTAAATCTAATCTAACTAACATTATAAATGCGAATGTTTAGATGGTTGTTTGTTAGCGTTAGTAGCCTAAACTGTTAAACGGATCTTGATGAAATTTGACATAGATGAAGAGAATAGTCTGGAGGAACACATAGGCTACTCACTTTTGTTTTATTTTTAATTCCACGCGGACGGAGTTGTGGGTAAAAGCTAGTGCCGAATAACGTGTCAATTAACGATAGGGCTTTACACATTATTGATTGCTACGAATTGTTTTAGGTGACATTACTTATGTATTGAATTGGAACACGATTTTTATGCATATGTATTCAAAAATTGTGATAGCGTGACATGGACATTGGTCGTTGATTGGTCGATATGAGTGACGTGTCTTTATGAAATGCAAGGCTTGTCTATGTTTAATATTTTAAAATTTAAATCATTTGTTTGCTCATCAATCAGTTGCTCTTTTTCAATCAGCTTTTGCAAGAGACTCTTCTGCATGGAATTAACTTAGTAAGAAGCCTGTGTTCTTTTAGATTACGTTAGAACGTAGACGATGTAGACATCTGTGCCAAATTTCATAAAGATCTATTAAGCGGTTCTGATAATTTTAACAATCATCCATCCATCTATTCATTTTTTACTTACTCAAAGTAACAAAATATAAGTTTTTATATAATTCTCAAACATTATTATATCAATCGATAGCCTTAAGTAAAAAAATGGCGGTCTAATGACTATGGGTAGTTGATCTAAAATTATGCCTTTCCTATATCAAGAATACTGACGGCCTCTTCCGACGTTTTAACGTCCGACAGAAAGAGATGGCTGAACATTTCATTCTCTATCCTTCTTACACGGTTATGTTTATCTCTCTCAATGTACTGACAAAAACTATATGTAACTTGTTCTTATTTTATAAGTTAAAAATAAAATGTAATTCCTGAATTTCATATTTTTATTTATTATACGATCTGTTCGTACTAGTTAGTACTGGTAGCGGGTAAAATATCAACAAAGTTATTACAAAAACTGCAGAGACGTCAACGGCAAAAACTTATGGTCGGTTTTTTTTTTAATCTCGTCTACATCGTACGGGATGACGTATATTTAAAAACCTGTTTGCGTGAACTCGACTTCTAACAGCGAACTGTTTAGATTTATCTCAAACGGAGTTTAACAAAGAAAACTATCACGACCGCATTTAATAAGGGGTAAAAATTAACAGCAGTTTTTAAGCATATAAGTTCTTCTATACTAATATTTTAAAGAGCAAATAATTGTATTTTGTATGTATTGAAATAACTCAAAAACTACTGTACCGATTTCAAAAATTCTTGCATCATTAAATTATCACATCGCTATTTTATCACTGAGTAACATAGGCTGTATTTTACTGTTTTTTTTTTTTAATTTTATGCAGGTGAAGTCCTGAGCAACAGCTAGTCCAAATAAAATCTTATGAAAAATGTGGTAAATTACGAACTCTTATTATTTCGCATCAATTAGTTTAGATTCATAAGCGGATTTCGTGACCACAAACATATTATTATATTTTTTACGTAAAGAGTATCGGTATTTCTGCCGACTTATGGCCTTAGCAAAAGAACATAGATACTACTTAAACTATTTTAATGAATTTCTAGTTCAACTGATTCAATTGTACATGCCATAGACAAAAAAAAACATGTATGCAATCAACGGTTTAGTGTCCAGTTATAACGCATTATCACAAAAGCAAGACTCCAATTTTCGTCACGCGATTTAGAGCTAAACTATTTAACCACGCCGTAGTCTTTGACTACAAAATTCAAACAAAATAATGGAACCCACATGCAATCACTACCTTTCGGATAAATAAATAATTATCAAGTCCACTAGGGGCGGAGTTATGCCGTAACACATAAAAAACATATAGACGAATTGAGTACCTTTTCGGAAGTCGGTCAAAAAGTAAGTTCTAACATCAGACTAAAACGTGGTATTCAGTTGCAACTATGAGAACATGATGCAGAAGTCACTGGATGTAGAAATCGGGGTTGATTACTTATACATGTACTAAACACAGATTCAAACTGGATTTCGAAGTTGTATACGTTTATAAGGGTTACAGAGACTGCAGGAATGTATAGTGAATCACTAAAATACTGAGAGTAATCAACACTAAGGGACTTATATATACAATCAGCTTGGAAGTCTATTTTATACAGCAACAGATAGCTGTTCGCGACTTTGCCCGTGTAAAAAAAAATTAGTAAAGTATACCCTATGTTACTCAGCTTTTTAATAGTGCAAGAATTATTGAAATCGGTCCAGTAGTTTTTTAGTTATTTCAATACGTACAAAAATCCAAAACTAAAAATCTTTTCTTTATAATATTAGCATAGAAATAAAATTATTGACCATCAAACGAAGAACGAAAAAAAAATTTAGGACCGGTTTCCAAATCTATTCTATTTTTAGTTTTAGATTTATTATCTATTGAATTCTAGGTAGTTAAAGTAGGCCGGATATGTACACAATATTATCGGCATTGACGCATGCGTTTTTCAAGTCGGTACTCGTTACGGAGAAGTTTGACTGCTAGTAATGATTAGCTATAGCATGACTATGGCCTGATGAAATCAATAACTTCACAACTGACAACAACTCTATATTACGTTTACAAGTAAAGCCCGGTACATATTTACGACTCATCTGAACAGACAGACCGTTCAGATAAATCTAACTTGTGTAGGCAGAACTGCACAGTTGCCAGTTTTGTTTGATTTATCTGGACGATCGGATTGTTCAGATAAAACTACCCGTGTGTCGCGGGCTTTATATAAATGATAGCTTTAGACTACGTCCGTGTAGAATTAAAAAAAAAACACAAAAGAAGGTAGCCCATGTATTCATTTAGACTATCCTCTACATCTATGCCAAATTTTATCTAGATCCATTTGTAGTCTAAACGCAGCAGTTTACAAACTAACAAGTATCTATCTAAACTTTCGCATTTATAATATTCGAAGGATTAGTAAGATAAGCCTGCACTCACGAGTGTATTCTGTAATACATTTAATTGTTAAATTGCTTCAATGTGGCCCTTTGTCATTTACCGACGACAAACGAGGTCAACTAATTTATCAACCGAATTGATTGTCATCAACTTTGGAAACGATTACGACAAATAGTGTCCCAAGGTTACACATGTCTTGCAGTCATGTTAAATGAATGATGATAAACGATGTTTGCAGACGTCTAGAAAGCCAAAGAATGAGTTATTAGTATACCTTCGTTAGTAGCTTCTAATAGCATTATTTTTCTAACCTTAAGTTTACCGTCACGATACTACAAAAATATCTCGTACTGGTTCTCGCGACTTCGCCCGCATTAAAACTATACCCTTTGTTACTCAGTGATAACATAGCTTTTTAATGGTCCAAGAATTTTTGAAATCGGTCCAGTAGTTTTTGAGTTATTTCAATACATACAAAAATCCACAAATACAAATCTTTACTCTTTATAACATTAGTATAGATTACATCTATTGTCTAAATTTTTGTCGTTTTTTTATTTCTTTTTCGTTGTCTTATTTCTAAAATATTGTCGAAAATTATCCTAAATTTATTTGTAGTCACTGACAGAAAAAATATGTAGCTTATAATTTCATCTAAAGAACCTTGTAGACGTCTAAAAAACGCTGCCAACGACGTAACGAGTTTTTAATGAGCACGAGAATCTACAACTAACAAATGTATGGACGTTACAAAAGGAAAATTTTGTAATAATAAATTCGACTTTACAACTAAATGAAACGTAAAATAACAAAAACTATTTAACTACGTCGTAGTCTTTGACTCTAAAAATCAAACAAAAAAAATGGAACCCACCTGCAAGAATTACCTTTCGGATAAAAATAGAATTATTAAATTGGTCTACCAGCGGTGGAGTTATGCCGTAACACACATAAAAAAAACATACAGACGAATTGAGTACCTCCTTCTTTTGGTAAGTCGGTCAAAAAAACACAAAAAGTTAACTCAAAAAATGAGTTACGTCCTTTCGTTGGACCGGTCAATAATTTTATGAAGTTTATGTTCAAAAACCGTATTAAAACTGTATTCTATTCAAAAATATATTTGAATAATAAGTACAAAACGAAATTGATTTTGATTAAAATTAATGGCGTATAGTATATGAACACAAAAGCATTCTGCGTTAATGTTTTATAACTCGTAATTCGCACCATCACAAATGACGCAATTAACAACCGTAAAGACGTAATTTATAAATCTGTCTATTGTATATGAAAACAGGGTAGAATTTATCAAAATAAGATTCTAAATATATCGTCATCTCTTTAATTTTTTATGAAAAAAAAGAGACAACGATATTATAAAGACAAGCAAGACATTTTATAGAAATGTTTATTTTTCAGATAATTACATGCCAGTTTGATTTACCACAGATGTAGAATCGAAGTGCTAATATTAGATCTTCAAGGAAAAAAATCTTGCATATGGAATAAGAAAAAGAATCATTTACAAATAAAAAACTTTTTTTATATTTTTTAGTTAGGCTTTTTTCTGTTTTTAGACAATCAGACAGATTTCATATGATTTTTAATTTGCAAACACTCGAAGTAATTATTGCATGCAATTTCGCGGGTAATAACTAGTATTTACATAATTATAGAAGATCTAAGTTCACTAGATTGACCTATTGGCATAAATGTATTATTTCTTATCATTTATAGCAACTTAACGAGAATTAACATGAAATTAGTGTCACTTGGGACTGATAACATTAATAATATAATCGAAGACTAAATAATGCTACCTATTATTTATTCACAGAAATAAACAAAAATAAAATTGATACATGTCGCTAATTAAAAAATAGTTAACAAAGATGGAAAATTTCAACACGTATCAAAACAAGTCGGTCGCGGTAAAACCCACAAAATCCTTCAATAACATAGACCGATCATATCGCAGTTATGTACGGTTCTACCTTGAATTTATAATGGTAAGTAAGCGAAGCACAAAAAATGTATAGTTAACGTTTTAAAAGGATGTTAATACTCATTGCTATTATGAAATTAAACTTGATTATAGGTTTAGTTAGACAACAAAAATCAACTAGTATTTTTTTTTATATGAGAAGGGGGCAAACGAGCGGCAGGTACACAGAGGTGGTCAACGACGCCCATAGACATCCGCAACACTAGTAAATTCAACAGAGTTCTAAAATGACCCTAGTATTATAAGATTCAACTTTTATGGCAGCTCGTAATCACCTTTAGCGCAAATATTCAAAGTTAGATGGCCAGATAGGTCAATGGGCCGCTATGGCGGCAAAAAAACGCGAACAGGTAAATTCTACCCCACATTCCTTTACATCCCTTACTTAAAATTAGATTATGCGCAGCGTCTCATGTAAAATTACGAGCTGTCATAAAGTTTGAATAGAACTGTTACTTAAGAATACGCAGTTCCTCTTGCGTTGAGATTACAAGATCGCAAGCATATCAACAAATCAACTCACCAACTAGCGTGTACTTGATAAGGCACGGATGGCATAGACTGGTGATGGGCTGCCAGTGCTCATTGTTTACCACGTCTGCCATCTCCTCAGACTGGTTAGTGAGGAATAACACGAACTCCTTGAACGTGACGTCATGTCCCTGCGCCAGCGATTCGTTTGAAGGATTCTCACGATACGCTCGGATTATCCTCTTGCCCACTCTATCCTGTGAAATTATTTACTTGAAATACGCTAAAGAATTAAGTAAAAAAAAAAAGGTTGGCAATTCATTTTTGAAGTAGTGCGTAGGAGACCAAAGAGTGTAAGTAAGAAGGCAATGAATTCATATGTCGGTTGGTAGATATGTATGGGAGAATAGTGCATTCTGTGACCCTCTGTCGTGAATAAACCAAGAAAGGAATACTTCATACTTTGTACTCTGTCTTAGTACTCAATCATTATTTCATGCTTCCCCAGTAATGTGGACTTACAACTAATATTTTCAATTTTATCTTCATTATTAAATACCCTGAACTGTAGTTAGTCGTAACGTAACACTCTGTTATTCAATTTACAAAAACAAACAAACATTTTATCTTTAAATAGTGAATTTCCATTGTTCAAAAGGTAGAAATATTCTCAGCTTTATCGTTTTGTTGAAATAAACTGAGATAGCAATATGTGCTGGTAATTTTAAGTTAGGAGGTCTCGACCTTTCCTTGTGTGAGATTGACCCAGATTATGAATATGCATAGGTTACTGTGCTAATGTGAACCAGAAATATCTTATTAAATTCTTTTATTAGTACAAATTACACAGTACAAAAAGTCTAGAAGACATCAATTACTCTCATTTTGTGGACAAAAGATAAAGTAAAGTGAAATTGCTAACTATTATTATATGATAATGATTGTTTTCGCAATTATTTTGGTATGTTTTTAATAAGTTTTAGTAAAAAGTACAATGATTTAACAAGCTAGGCTTATAGCTGGAATAAAGCGCGTAGAAAATTTAAAACTTTTAATACGTTACGATTCAGGTCTATTTTACAAATTACCAAACTCGAATAACCAAGTAGACCGAAAAAGTAATAAACAAAATGCTTGTGAATGTGTGAGTGAATGAAAAAAACAAGCTATGTAACCAATACGATACGATACGAAAAGTGGGACATAAAAGTTAATTATTTTGATCTGAATCAAAGAAATTTTTGCTATAGACAAACTGATATAGAGATGGATGGATTGCGTAAAAGGTGACATGGTCAAAAAGGAAGTGATGACTGAGATGACGTATGATAGAGTTATGTGGAAGATAAAAACCTGTTGCGCCGACCCTGGGGAGTAGGACAAGGAGACAGATGATGACGATGATGATGATGATGAAACTGCAATATTTTCGCGAAATTCTCATAGAAACTCTTTTCTTACAAAACTATCATGCTAGTTGTCCGCGTATACTTTAGAGTGGATTAAAATAACTTAGTAGCCTGTGTTTTACCAGACTAAGACATCTGTGCCTAATTACAGCGAATGCCGTTCAGTCAACAAACATTTAAACATTCATATTTATGATATTAGTATGTAATATAATAAACGAGCTGTTGCCCGCAACTTCGTCCGCGTAGCATTAGAAAACATACGAACTATATAAATTACAAATAGCTACGTATCCCTCGGGAACCGGACATTTCGCGGGGATGAAGCTTATCCCATGTGTACTCTAGACTTTGTTTTATATCTGTGCCAAATTTCAATAAGATATGTTGAACCGTTGCAGAATGATCGAGTAAACATTAAAAAACTAAATTAATGAATCGCACGGGAACCGTAACTATTCCCGAGATAAAAAGTAGCCTATGTGTTCTTCCAGACTATGCTCTAAATCTGTGCCAAATTTCATGGAGATCCGTTCAGCCGTTTAGGCTACAAACGCTAACAAACATCCATCCATCTAAACTTTCGCATTTATAATATTAGTAATATTAATTAAAACTTCCAACGATACATTTATACAACTAATTTTATAATTCTTTTGCATAGTCATATTGTTTTACCGTTGGCCATTGCTTCCGACTAACAAACGAAATACTTAATTACCAGTAATTATAACATACAAAGTATATAACATCCGTTTTAGCCTGGTGAAGATTTCCGTTAACGCAATACTATTTTTAAATTATTATTACACGAAATATTAACATACTTAGTTATAAATAATACTAAAAACATAAGCGGTCTTAATTTTCAATCCCTATAGTAACTATTATTTGCTTTTAAATTTTATTATTAAAAGTAATTACTGCCGCACTCTATCTGGTCTCGCTAAGTATAGCTTTAGTAACAGTGTAGACTGTTAGAAAATTAGAAGAGCTACTAAATGTACTCAGAGTTCTGAGTGAGTCACTTAGTTCTTTAAACTCTCTTATCTACATTAATATTACAAAGAAGGAATTTTTGGATTTTAGGATTTTTGTACGTATTTGATTCACGCAGAAACTACTGGGCCGATTTTTAAAAAAAAAACTTTCTCCATTAGAATGGTAATATATCTGAATAAGATAGGCCGTATTTTGTATTGTTTTTTTTTTTTATTTCACGAAGACGCCTATACCAATATTATAAGGAGGAATGATTTGTGTTTTTGTATTTAATAAAATAACCTAAAAACTACTGGGTTGGGTTTTTAAACATTCTTTAGAAAGATAGTTTATCTGTTACCATAGGCTATACTTTTATTTTTTAGTTTCAGATTGATGAAAAGGTTTTTTTTTTATATTAGGTGGCAAACGAACAAGCGGCCACCAGAATCCACCAAAATGGAAAGCGACCACTGACCATAAACATCCGCAATTGCAGATGCGTTGCCTACTCTTAATTTACGGAGGAGATGCACATAAAGAGGGCGATTCCCTCTCGTATGCGCCTCCTCCACCGTCAAATCCGCTTTTCCTTCCCATCGTTTCCTCTTAAGAAAAGGGTGGAAAGGGACAATTATGTTATATTTTAAACATTATCAACAATACCTGAAAATACTTCGCGCTCTGCGTATCTCCTTCTAATTTATTCCGATATGCCGACAGCAACCTTTCAAAGGGATTCCTGACTATTATCATCTTGTTATAATTATCCAGCATAATCTGCCTGTCTTCTTTGGGCACGGTGCTCAAGTTCCGGAACATTCCAGGCGAGTGAGCGAGGCTCGCGGGAATCGCTAGTACATCAGTACCATTCCATTTACTCGCCAATATCATCAGTATACGTTTCCAATTCGTACACGCCACCTTAAATTATACAGATTAAAAATAAAACAAATGACAATCAAGATAGTGATAAGCAATGTTTAATTTTTGTTAATCGTTTTGTTTTTAAATAAATACGTATTTATAGATACTGCCTTTCTTCTTTATTGTAGGTGGTTGTAGCTATTTAGACACCAGACGAAGACTAAAAGCAAAATAACTTCTTACATGTGCTTGAAAATAATTGGTTTTTAAATGTTATTTTATAAACACCAAAATCCTAACACAATGAGTATTTAAAACCTGATAATGATTGCTGTCGAATTAAATTATATTGTTTTTTAAATAAATTAAAGAGTTTTTAAATATTGACTAAGTCTATTAAAATCATACTAATCATACTACTATTATAATTGAGAAAGTTTAGATGGATGGATGTTTGTTAGAAATTGTAACCTAAACGGCTGAACGGATTTCGATGAAATTTGGCAAAGATGTGGAGGATAATCTGGAAGAACACATAGGCTCCTCACTTTAGTTTTTTAAATGCTCGCGGGCGGTGTCGCGGGCAAAAGCTAGTATATAAATTACTTATTTGTTAGCATGTTAGTGAAAAATCACAGTGATGAGCAGAATGACGATTTTAGACACGCGGACAATGATTATGAAATACTGGTTAACCTTCACAGACTCACCTTTGGGACGTAGCAATAAAGAAGTTTGTGTTCATCATCAACAAGTATATGTTCGAGTTGATTTGGCGGTAAATCATCCAAACTCAAATTCAAGGGAAATCGACGACATGCTTCCTGTATAAGCTCTTGCCGCGCCAAGTTCAAGGACTGGGTCAATTCCAAAGAATGTTCGTTTGTCGATTCATTCTCGTTCCCGCTTACGCAAAAAAATACGCCCAGGAACAGCATGAAATTCCCGTTCCAAGAATGCATCTTTCGCCATAACACACACATAAAATATCGGTGAATCAAAACTTTAAAAACAAAATGTAAGTTACTTTTTAAATGTAGGGCATGTGTAAATCGCACTTGTTAAACTATAAAACCATTTTATTTTTATTTAAACACAAAATTAGATTATGTTTCACTTATAAAATTAAGTTTCAAGATACATTTTGAAGTTTACAATTTAAAGTTTTCGTAAAATATATTTTTTTTAAACCACTGACACTAACATCTCCCACTGTATCAAAAACAATACTAAAAGAATGAACGAATGAAAATATATGTCGAACAGAACTGAATGAAAGTTTTTGACTGGTCAGGTCATAGAGTAGGTGACATTAACTGGTATTAGTTATCTGTGCGAATCAAACATTTTCGTTTTTTTTTATAAGAACTTATTTCTTTTATATTAAAAGGAAAAATAAAATGCAGTATAAAATATATCAAAAATGGAGATTCCTGGTTTGTCGTACGAAGTTTATCTTTTCAAAATGAGTGTTATTAATGAAACTAGCAATCGACTTTATTCATTTATTTAATTTCTGACATAACGATCCTCTTTTATCCATTTGTATTTCCACTACTGTTTCTTATATTTTCTGAAACAGAAATTACATTGTATTTAAATTAACAAAAAAAAGAAGACAATTAAACTACTGTTACTTAATTAATTTCTTACTTAAATGTTGTATCCGAAACACCTCAGCGTATTGATGAACTTCTTCAAAAGCTTCCTCAGCTATATCCAACTGATTTTTTTCTAAAGCCAATTCTGCTAGACATCCCCAGAGCTTGATGTCTTTTAACGTACGACAGAGCTATATGTAAGGCAAAGAATTAATTTAGTATTAAATAACCGTTTATGTATAAAGGGGACATAGTGGACATCTAGTGGTTATGATTTAAAACCGAGAAAGCGATTTCTTATTTAACTCACTTGTAGGGCTTCACTCCACATGTTGGAAGCGACATATTTAAGTACCATCTCGATATGTATGACGCCCAGCGATATGTGCACGACGGTTGATCCTTTCCCGCGATAAACACTCGCAACTCCATTTTCTACGCATTGTATGCTAGGGTTATAACCCATGTTACTGCGCAAATTTAAAAGCGTTTTAATAAATTATTTGTGTCCCAAACCTTTTATTGTGATTAATCTATATTATACTATACTATTGTAATATAATAAAGCGTAAACACACACTGCTTCGTGGTATAGGATGTCAGCAATCACATTATATTTTTGAATAATTGTTTCATTAATAAAAAGACATACACTTAAGATACGCTTTAGGCTATATATTTCCATACTTTGTCTTAGGGGTAAATAAATTGGAAAAATGTGCGAAAGGGACCATAAACTACAAGGTGCCAACATTAAGGAAGCAAGGTTATTATGGTAACGGTAATTTTGATATTTACAATTAAAAATTAGACAGATGTAAACAATAAAATAAAGTTTTTTATAATTTCATGCGGATAAAGCCACACGGGAACAGCTAGTGTCTAAATAAGATATTACCTTGTTGGTATCGAAATTACAGTTGTAGTAAGTTCCGGACGAGTGTTGTTTTTCTGATAAGCCCAACATACTATCGATTCTTTCTTTAAGCCAACTAACAATTCAGATTCTGTACTCCACATAATGCTAAGCACTGCTCGTGCTGTGAAAAATGATAATTTAGTGACTTAAACATTACTTAGATTCACCTCAGTGGAATGATCACATCCTCTTATGTGAATGTCACGAGGCGTAAAATTATCATTTTCTTGTTCATAAATACTTACATAGCACCAAGAGTTTTTGTTTCGGGTCCTTCACAGTTGCAACTAGCAAATCACGCCTTTTATCTACCAGTGCTATCTGACGCTCGTTGATGGGTCCTGTCTGACTCAATGCGACGTTGCATACAGTTGTGTGGTGTTTTATCTTGGTCATATTGTTATCCCCAGCCCCACGACTTATTGAATACGTCGCGGTCGGCAAATCATATACATGGACCACTGAAAGAAAACTTTATTATATCAGTTCTATTAAAAAGTTTTCAACAAATTTAGAGCTAGTCCTCAAGTTAAGTGAATTATAAAAATCGTTACGACTTACAAGTGGGATTAGTGTGGTCGATGAAAGCCAGTGTATCAGGCCCTAGAGATATCGAAGTTCGTCCGCGCGACTCTGAGTGCGAACTGATTTGAGGACTAGCTAGTAAGCGACCTGTGTAGCTGTACACTGACACACGGCCACGGTCGACTATACACATACATCTGCAAATTGAATTTTTATAATTACCCTCGATATAAACTTGTTCATACACAAAACTAAAAAGAAAGAAAGTTAAGCTTTGTAAAGGATGTGGGAGAAAAGTCATTTTAGTAAATTGTCCATTACCTCGAGGCCAAAAGAATCATACTGACAGCGCCGTCCTTAACGTCAAACGTCACTGGAGTATTCCACGAAGTCAACTTGTGTATAAAGCACTGCTTTATCGTAGCCACTGTTAAATGGTCGAAACCGAGCGCAATTTGCACGACACTATCCGGATAATCAAGTTGGTCACTTTCATCGGTTGTTATATCTTTAATCGCTATTACTTTACGTCCGATTTGCGTACAACTAAAATTCTTCCAGTTGTAAGTCCTATTAAAAGAAGTAGATATTGAACAGATTAATATGTTCACCGTTATCAATGTCGGCTAAGTTGGTAGAAGCAAAACATTAAAAGCTGCAAAAGAATTTAACTCGAAAAGGAATCTTAATTATGTTTTAATAAATTAGCAACTTAAAAACACTATAGGAGTAATGCAAATAAGATGCGTACCTATCAATAATGTGTGCGAATATAACATGACCATCGGCGCAAGCTGCCGCTAGTTGCGTACCGTCGGGTGACCACGCTACAGAGTACACACTGCCAACATCCAAGTCTAAAGAAGAGTTCGGCCACTTGAAATTTAAAAAATGTGAATTAATTTTAAAAGTGAGAGATTGATTCATTATAATTTACATAATATAACGTACGCCATCATCACTATGAAGTGATAATTTATTAAAGCTGCCAGCGACGAACAAATCACCATGCGGCGACCAGCTGATTGCAGTACATGGATGTACAAACTCCTTTGTCGAAAATATTAACTGTTGAAATGTATCCCAAACCTACAATTAAAACAATTATTAGGAGTACCTTCAAAAAAAAAGGAAATATAGGCTTGACATAGTTAACCTTAATGTAGCCATCTTCATCACCGGAGACAATTAAATTATTACTTGCATTCCAACCGACGGATAAAATTAATGACTCGTGTGCCCACCACTGGAATATTAAAAACATTAAAATTAATGAAAATGTAATGAACACTCTGGAATCGGCGTGCTTAACATAGATCATTCAATTATAAAATTAGCGACACCAGTACGTCTTTTGAGCGTACATATGCGTGTAAAACAATAGTTTGTATATGCATAAAACCATTACCTTAGTTATTTTAGTCTTGGCTTGTAATGGATGAATGACTAAATGGTGCCTTTTAGTATACAAGATAGCATTACTATCAGGGCTCCAAGCAGCCATATAGCAAGACACATCTGATTCGACTACAGTCGACCTGAGAAGACCGCTGCATGACCATATCTTGACACATCCATCTTCTCCAGCTGAAAAATTAAATACTGGACATGGATATTGCGTTGTTTACATTGATATTCAGTACTGCGTGAGTTTCAGGACCAAAATAAAACATATTTTGGATGAAAAGTCATCTCATACAAAAATAGAGTTTTCTATGATATGAACGAACAATGATACCTGTTAAAATTCCATCGGCATTAGGACTCCAAAGTGCGACTAGACAAGCTCCTTGATGCGCATTAACGGTCTTCTCAATGCGGCCATTGTAATTGACTATGTGAAATCTGTTTATAATTTTTTTTATTTAATTTAACATATTATTATAGTTACGATTATTATTTAGCAAAACATATTTCTAATCCTTGTATGTAATAAATAGTTTCTACTCACTTGCCATCAGTAGATGCTATCAATATGAAGTCAGTTTGCGTCTTTTTCCCGCTACTGCTTATTTTTGGAAATAGGTGGAGTCCAGTTGGATATAAATCATCGGGAAATGTTGCAACGGTCATGCATTCATTTGTTGCTAGGTTCCATTTTATTAGTTTGTGATCATCGCTGAAATTTGATAAGAAAAAATGTTTTAATATTAATTTGATTCATTGTCTTCTTTTCATGAAAATCTACTTTTCATAGTAGAATCCCATGGTAAGATTATTTTTCAGAAAGTCTGATAAAACTTTCGACATTTACCCGCATGAGAAAACATCTTCAGTATTATTCCAACTAACGCATATGACTGCTCCGTCGTGACTAGGCTTCTTAATCGTAGAGACTTTTAATCGCATTTTCGCAGTACTTAAGAACAATAAAATTGAACAATCCAAATTACAATTCTTGTTTTGTTATGATTTTCGTAACTATAGAAACCTAATTATCGCACAATGTCACTATATCCAATGTTACCCTCACAATAGTGTTTTAAGGACTATAATAATTATCGTAAAATAATGTAATTACGTGGATTGTGATGTGCGTTTATAATTTAATATTTAAAACGAGGATTATAACGACTTAAATTAACTTTACCATTCTATACCTAAATGTTTTACTCAATGATAGGGCATTCGAATCTGTCAGTGTCACGATTTGACAGTGTCATTGTCATCTGATCATGTCATGTCATATTGATTAACCACATGGTTATTAAAAGTGTGTTTTATTTCACAGTGAGTATATAATTTTCCAAAAAGTAAAATCGTAACTGAACAGCTCTAATTTAACATGTCGGACGTACCAGATCTTAGTAGCGATGAAGATCAATACGACGAAGAGGATTGGCAAGAAATGGAAACCAGCAATTCTACAATTACCTGTTTGTTTTGTACAACCGCATTGCCTACAATTGAAGAAGGTATCGTACATTGTGAGAAAAGCCATAATTTTAACTTAAGCATTCTCAAATCTAAACATCATATGGATTGCTATTCATATATAAAATTGGTGAACTACATTAAAACACACAAAGCAACATCTGAAGCTATAATGGATTCAGCAACGGCTCTGTGGAATGACGATAAGTATTTAAAACCTGTTGACAATGATGAATGGTTGATGTATGACTTTGATTCATTGGCAGAGAATACCAGTTCACCACAATCTTACCATGCTAATGTTGAGAATGGCTTAGTTACGTTATCACAAGCTCATTTTCTCGAATTACAAAGGACGATACAATCACTTTCGGAACAGCTAAAAGAATCACAAACACATCTGCAGATGGCAAGAGAAGATATGAATAAGATGCAAAGTTCAATGAAAAATATTGTTGAAGGAAATACAAATTCTGTTGCCAATGAAAGTGTAACAGTAGATTGTGTCTCCAAAGTACCGTTAGAATGTGACGAAGGGTACTTTAGTAGTTATGCTCATTTTGGTATTCACTATGACATGCTCTCTGACAAAGTACGGACTGAAAGTTATAAAAATGCAATATTATTTAATAAAGAAACATTTAAAGACAAAACTGTCTTGGATTTAGGATGTGGGACGGGCATTTTGTCAATGTTTTGTGCCACCGCAGGTTCTAAAAAAGTATATGCATTAGACCAATCTGAAATAATTTATCATGCTATAGATATAATTACAGAAAATAATTTAACAAATGAAATTAAAACTATAAAAGGTAGGCTTGAAGATACAAAGTTGGATGAAAAAGTTGATATTATTGTTTCGGAGTGGATGGGTTACTTCTTGCTTTTTGAAGGGATGTTAGACAGTGTTATATATGCTAGAAACAATTATCTCAACCCTGGGGGTGTATTATTACCAAATCAATGCAACATAAGCTTAGTTGCGAATGGAGATATAGACACACATAAAAAACTAATTAATTTCTGGTCTGATGTATATGGATTTAAAATGAATTGTATGAAATCAGAAGTGATTAGAGAAGCGAGTGTTGAAGTCGTGGATTCAAAGAATATAATTTCCGAACCCTGTGTTGTAAAAGAAATAGATATAAATACTTGTAATGTAAAAGTAGTTGATTTTACGTCTCCTTTTGAACTTTGTATCACACGGGATGGTTTTATAACGTCCCTTGTTGGTTATTTCGATACATTCTTTAATTTACCAACTGCGGTAAGTTTTTCAACTGGTCCTCAGGTTACACCGACCCATTGGAAGCAAACTTTGTTTTATTTCAAGGATTGTAAGGAAGTGAAGAAGGGTGATATTATTAAAGGCACTATTACATGTAGTCGTTTAAAAACTGATGTTAGAGGACTTCTTGTGCAAATTGATATATTCGGTAAAACTCATAAGTATATTTTAAGCTAAGCTATATCTGTAAAAAATATTTTGTAACTTCAAGCATCATCAATGCATTTAGGCAAGAAATTAAGTAATTGTCAGTTAGAATAAGTTTAATAATGGTGATATTTTCACGTATAAGTTTTTTTTTGTAAAATAGACAATGTTTATTTTTTACATTAATATTTATGTATTTTTTAAACAGATTACTTCTTTATCGAGCACAATATTTTGCTTAAGACAATAATTGTATAGATATCTAGGAAATATTAAGAATAGCCTTTTTTGCAATTGCTTTGAAAGTAAAAAAAAATACTTAATACAGAAAATAAACTGCAAATGTTGTTTGAAGACATGTATTTTCATTTTTATAAAGTGTATAATTCCACTCATGATATGTTTAATATTGCTAACAAGAAGAATGTTACAGGATGAAATAAAAAATACACAATTATTTTCTACGAAAGATCTTTATTTCATTTTATACATAATTTAAATATTTCTTAAGAGTGTGACATCTAATTATTTACAATTAGAAAAAGAATAAATAGTGGATAGAAATGACATTTCACATACAAATTACATATTTTAGAAATAATGACCAAATTTACAGAAGAAATGCAAAATATATTTCAATCTAGTCTTTACAATGAAGCTTAAATTATTATTATGTTGAAGGACATGTTAATAAAATAATAAAAAAGTTTTCTATTTGTCAAAATATATACTGAATTTATATAGAGGTTTCATAAAAAGATCAATTTTACAACTATTAGACATATTGGTTACTTATTAAGATGTAAAATTTAAAAATAGTTTATAGCATTCTGTTTTATTGCGTAAAACAACGACCCTCTATAAGCAATCATTTAGTAACTAAATATATTTTGGAATGTTAAGATATTACCTATGTACAATTGAAAACCTATATTGCATATATACTCCTTATTTATTTTATTATGCTTTTCAGTAAAATAGGGAACAAGCTTTCACATAAATGCATTTAATATCCATTCAGGAATGTACAATTATAGGTTTTGGAAATCTACATTTTAATATTTACTATTTACTACTAAATTATTTAGTATTAGTACTTTACTAAATTATTTTCATTGATGCTGCTGCCATTTGCAGGAAATAATTTAAAATATCTAATATGGTTTTCATGCCTCTTTTATTTTTAATGTTGGTAACACTTTTAATATTGCCAGATACTAGAGCCATAGACAAATTGCATCTAAAGGTTCTGTTTGTTGTTTTAATTCCACAAAAATGATGTTTTGGTTAGATTTTTTTATAGATTAAGCTAGTCTATATATTTATAAAGCTATATCCCCAATTAAACTGCATCAATAAACTACGTATTTATGATTACACTATGCTTAAATTATTACTGCAACTACATAGTATTCTAAATGCACAATATACAGATTAATAAATCTATTGCTTACACAGAGGATAAATATATCAAAGATCTATTGTAAATTTTTCTACAATAAGCGTCACCAGGATTATAAATCTACCCTTACCACCCTTGAAAACAGATAGGGACCTAAATTTAGCATGATTATGGATTTTTGATTTTGATATTCAAAGACAGTGGTCCCACGTACCTTCCTTGAAAACTAGGCCTCTTATAAAAGAGTTTATTCTATTTCCAGTGTAAATTTCAGATGAAAATTTTGGCACATGTGGGTAAACACTTGGCCATTAATGGTTTTTGTCACAAGAATATAATTTTTTTACATATTTTATCAAGCCAAAAGATAGTCTAGGTGTAGGACGGTATACTTATGCTGGGTCCTCTAAGGTTTGATTATTACAGGCCAAAATCCTGCATAAATTCCTTTTCTGTTCAGTCTGATACAATAGATGTAGAAATAAATATTGTTAGGTGCTTTGAGCATGAAAAGATAATATAATGATAAATATCTACTTGTTTTACTAAGCTATTTTGTATATAATCAAAAGAGTTCCTATTCACGCAATTTAGCATAAGTACAATGCTCTAGTTGTCTATGATTTGATTTTTTCATAGACAAAGTTTGGTCGGGGAATATCAGAATTCTCCAATTATATCGGAAACATTAAAATTAATAAGCGTATTTTTATATGGGTTAAATTTTAAATCTAGTTTCACTAATATACATTTATAATAAATATTACAATATGCCATTGAAAATATGTGCAGTTATATAATGCTGTAGAAATATTAAGTTTTTTTTTATGTTTTGCTCCATAACCAGCAATTTTATTATAGATTACATTTTGATACTTAATTTTATATTTTTACTACTATTAATGGATTATTTTAATTTATATCGATACTGCAAATTACATTGAGTACAAACATTTATTGCAAGATAAGCCGCATCTATTTAAATTTAATTAATTGATAATTTATATTAAATACTATTGGTAAATGAACTACTGAAAACTGAGAAAATCAACAGCCTTACAAAGATGTATTTTATTTGATATGACTGCAAATTACTTAAGTTAATAATATTAAAAATAATATCTGTGATTAGGAACTTAAGGGGAACAAATAAATTAATGATATATTTATATGTATAACTATAGACTAGGCATAAAACATACGAAAAGCCAACTTAAGTGTAACTTACTTATCTAACGATTTACACTAGAAGCGCCGCGGACGCGGGTCGCCGATTCCAATCCTCACTACGATGTCTTCCATATAAATGTACAGGTTTTGTGCTATTTGAATTTGTGCGTGCACGATTTATCTACATTTGCTTTTATGGGTTTCAACTACCGATAGTTTAAATAATTTTGTATTTATAATTAATAATATAAACGTCAGCGATAGTTTTAAATACTTTAAAGTAACTGGCAACATATGTTAGAATATAATTTACATGATACATTTTACATTGCAATAATAACTGTTCGTAAATCTAAACGATTCATTAATTATTACTCGTATATATAGTTTTGTATGAATAGTGTCAGACAGTTAAGTAAATATAGGGAGGCGTTAACACAATTATGTTCAGACATTTTCTGTTTGCAACACTGTTAATACGAACATTATTTATGAAGAATTATCGTATTCACTTAATTTAAATGCAAAGCGTGTAAACGCATATCTATGATATTTTAGTTCTTTTTCATGAGTGATTGAAACATGTTACAACACGATGTTTTCACACTATTTACAAATGTGGCCAAATATTATTCTTCTGTTGCCACTGGTTGTTCTGCGCTGTTCTCTTCTTCAAGCTTAGCTCGGGCTTCTGCATCTGAAAATTTTAATAGTTAAGTAAGTTTGACCTTTAAAACGCCGAAAGACCAAATGTTTGTGGAATTGGTTAAAATCTTTTTATTCTATGTACCTTTAGCAGCTTGCTCCTTCCATATTTTCTTATTATCGCTTAGACATGCCACCCACGGTTTCCTTATTTTAAATTTATTGCTTCCTTCTGCACCTGAAATAAAATTGTAATTCGGTTATAGTTCGTGAATAGATTATGCCACAACTAGGTTAACAAAAGTGACACATTTGTTTTTTTTATTCTCAATTAATTTAATAACATAAAATACCAGTATTCTCCTCATTAATGGGCTCCTGTCCGCTAGCATTTGCTGTATTCTTTGTGTTAGAATGCAACGGTCCCAGTATACATTCCAACATATCGGCACACACGCCCATACTGGGCTCCACGATGAATTCAATGAAGCCAATTTGAGATTCTGCTACGAGAGTATTATTCCGATCGCACAGGGGACTGAAGGGCAGTCCTAATTCCCGTTCCTTGTCTCCCTGCAGGAAGAACTCGTCCAACAAGCTCATAGTCCACCGATGATGGAGATCCCATCTCTGTAAGCAGTACCATTTTCTTTAGACAAGTATTCGAAATAGTATTTAGTATTTGAAATAGTATTGACAGTCGGATGTGTATCAGTTGTTGTGTAAATGGTTATTGGTTTCCTTTTTTCCATGGGGCAATGAGACCATCGCCTCAATAATCGAGTCAGATTGTGATATTCCTCAAGTCCATTTTTGCAAGTACCTACCTAACTAAATTTACTGAAGTTATTACCTTAGCTGGGTGAGATATATCGCAGCAGTGGAGCACGAGGGACACGGCTTTAGATTTGTCAACCGTGGGTTCGGCGAGTGTGAGCAGCGACCGCATGTTCTTCAGCTGCTGGAAGTGGAACGACATGTCCGTCGCCAACACCATGTCGATGACGAGTGTGCGGAACTCGCGGAACTCATCACGCGATAAGTTCTGGAGGATGTTGCATTCCTCGTCACGCATTAGCCTGGAATGTTAAAAAGAATTTGCTTAAGTTATGTGAAGAAGATATTTCGTTCTTTCCCTAAATGCATTGACATTCTAACTGCTGTAGATTGTCTCATAAATTACGCAATAAATTAAAATGACTTTGAATAATCACCAGGACCGGAGGCGACTATTAAAGTGTTCATTTTCATCAACAACTTGGTGTAAACTTTGCGACGAATTTTACGAAAGTCGAGACCGATCCATCACAACTCTCGAACCAAGATTTATGATAATCTAACTAGTTAAAGTGTGATTTTCTTATATCTTTATCAACTAGATTTAAACTTCATTAACTCCGAGTAATTTTAAAATGATCTCTATTGTACTCAGTTTGGAAACAAAAAAATATTTTCATAGGAATGATAGATACGTCAAAGTGGAAGTTCATTTTCACATTCTCTTCATGTGACAGGTACAAAAATGTAATGCAGCAGTGTAGTGTAAAGATGGGTTTTAAACTTAGCCTTTTTTATACGCATGTGATTTGCGTCACTTAAATTATTCCATCGAGGAGCCGACGCGCACTAGAGCGCCGCAATTTATATTATAATGTCGGATCCCGTAATAATTTACCGAGGTCGCCCTGATTGATGAATTGGGGTGCAGAATCATGATAGACTCTTCACAGGAAATTGGAAGAAATTGCGTCGATTCTCAAAAAAAGATATCTAATGTATACTGTAAGATTAACACAGTAAGTTATTTTTTAAATATGACGTTATTCGTTATAAATTTCAATACTAATAATATGAATTTTCTTTCCACCATCCAGTTATAAGTGACTATGAGAAATATTGCATATATTTCTCTTTGCACCGAACTAAATGAGGTTAACGCCTTGAGATGGGGATAGGATGTTACGAACGTGTGAAAAAATGGCACATTTGCTACCCTAGGGAAATTGTGTATTATTGTAACGAGTTCTCAGTCTACGTATCGCGTTCTTTTGTTCGCGAGAATTTAGAAATTCCATTCAGATTTTCGCCCTTTTGTTATTTACTGTCTTTCATCGCAATCGCTTTTCTCGATGGGTGTTGTTCAGTTGAGAAATGTTTGTGGCAGTCTATTTTACTATTGTTCATGAGATGGATTGTACCAATTTATTGATAAAATGTGACATTCATGAAAATATTGTTCAACAGCTAACGAAATTGTTTTGAAATGTTCTTACAGTTATTTAGTAAGCTTTAATATTATTCGGAGAGATACGTAACTGAGAGAGAGAGAGAGAGAGAGAGAGAGAGAGAGAGAGAGAGAGAGAGAGAGAGAGAGAGAGAGAGAGAGTAAGTTTAATTATAATTTCAAAATTACATGAGTAGAATAATCAAAATTCAGACTATTGTTTTGCGTTACTTTGCTCATCATCCAAGGAATCTAGACTTTGATAGTTCACACGCACGAAAAATTCCAAATGGCACGCAAATGTTACTGAAATTCCTACTACTGTTGTGATTTCAGTGTTAACACGTACGTTACTAAAATACTCTTTTATTCCAAGTTAACGTGGATTCAAATATAGCAGCTTGACTCGTCGACAACTATTGCTTTGAGGCATGTGATCCAGCGAACTTTAAAATAGTAAATTACCTGAAGGCGGCACTAATATGGTGATTCTCGAGCACAGCGCGGTCGTTGTAGAGCAACGCGGTGTCGGAGCCGGACATCACGTGGAAGTTGTTGGTCGTGCCGGTGTGCTCGAAGTCGTGTACGATCGCTGCCACTAGCGTCGCGAATATCTCCAAATCGGACAGCCAGTTCTAAACACAAGAGTCATTAGAACTAATTGCGGGATAATGTACAGACTTACGCACTTGTAAATACGTTTAAAGGATATAAGTTTAGATTAAGTTTGTGCCACACTAAGGATCTGTTAAAGTAACTTTTATTGAGTCTGGGTGCGGCAGTAAACTTTTTGAACTCAAGAGTAGATCCGCGTGTGCATAAGTGCACCTAAATTATCACAGGTTCATGGAATAATGGACTTATATAATTGTATAGTACTCAATAATGAAAAATGAATGAATGAATGCTTAAGAAAGGAGTGGATTCAGATACGACGACTGATAGAGATGTATGGAAGAGCAGCACAGACTGTGCCGACCCTCCTTAAGGGATAAGGGCAAGTTGATGATGATAGTACTCAATCATGAAAAAAGAATACTTAAAAATTGTGGTATGCAATTCTGAAATTTATTTAAATAAAGCTTATACTCGTTTGGAATACTTACTTTCGGAGATGCAATAAGTAAGACTGTTAAAGTATGTAGTAAATTGTAGAAAACGTTTAAGTAAAGCTCCTATTTAAATAAAATGAGATAAAAAGCTTTCAATAGACCGATGACACGAGATATGGATAAATTAAATTAATATCTAGAATTGAAAATCAAAATTTGATCGCAGCTAATGTTTTTTTTACCATAAAATGAAATTCGCAATGTCAAACTTTGTAATGCTGGGTCGCGCAGATTGCCAAAACTTATCGAGGTTTTGCTTCTTTACTTAAAAGAATATTGACTTAAGATCCGATGTTATGGACTTTAGCAAGCCGAACTGTTATTATATCTTGTTAAAATTTTCGCAATAAAAAATACAAAGGGAATAGCGAAATCGAATTATTTTTCGCCGCGTTCTTTTATTATTTCATACAAAATTATTAAATTAAGGTTGCTAATAACGTAAAGTTTTATTATATTATCTTATCTGAATCTTTCATTTTACTAAGCTGAGAGAGTTAAAAACCTTTTAGAGTTGACACACACAAAGAAAAGTTTTGTAACCAAATAAATGAAATCCTTACCATAAGTCCAGTCTGGCAGAGCATGTAATGCACGGTCTGTGCTACATCCGCCGCATGCAAGTTGTTGTGGTAAGGATTGTGGAACTTGCAGTATCCCTCCTCTATCCGGCTGAGGAAATTCTCTAGAATCGTTGACTGCACCTGTATGAAACATTTTGACAGTGAGTTACCATACTAGATAGCGTTTTAGATGAACTAACTCGATTAACAACTTGACGTGGTCAAACAATTGTATGAATTTCATTAAAATCTCGTTTTAATGTCGACTTATCAAAGACATCAGTATTGATAGTTTTTAGTTGGATTAATTTAATGCCTCTTGGAAATACGTAAGCTTTTAAATTACGTTGATTAGTGAGCACATCAAAGGCAGTGTAATACGATATTTAGAATAACTCCACACAGAATATCTCGTGAACTTTGTACGATTCTAAGGAGTTGAAAACTTTAACAAAGTCAAAGCTTAAGTTACTCGCATTTGCAAAGAAAACGATTCTACAGGTTTATGCTAACATGTAATCATTACACAAAGTTTCTACCTTTTACATTTGTGAGTAGGATTTGAAAACCATTCTTTAAAAATCTCACAAAAGTTTTTAAAGAGGTTTTCAAATGCAGTTAGTTTTTTCACAGCATGTAGTAATTATGTTCAAATTCCATATATACATAGTTTCCCGACGTTCTTAAGGCGAAGGAGTACATCGTGATGCAACCTGCACATGTCGGCGAAGAAGTTCAAAGATATGTGTGAAGTCAACCAACTAGCAGTGGGCAGGCTCTGAGCCCCTCAGTCGGGACCTATAGTGAGCTGGTGATGATGATAATGTAGCAATAGAAATTTTAAAACGATACATCTCTTACAATTTAGTTATTGCGGCGTTCGAAATCTTTTCTTTATCTTGGAAATAAATCCTTACGTCAGTTTGACCACTTTATATTCGAATGTACATTTAAATGTACTTTTCGCAATGTTTGATGTTTTCTAGAAAGTAGAGTATTTCAACAGTTGCTTTGAAAATAGAAATACAAAGATTTCGTATAAAGCTGGGTCGTAAAGTACTACTCATTGATTTATGTTTACATTTGAATTTTATTTCCTAATGGAGGTTTACTTTCGACGTAACGTTGTTTTAAAAATATTTAACGAATTTTAAATATGCTTTTTTATGAAACTTTAGTAAATGAAACGTTTATCAATTTATAGTATAAGATACTAGCTGTTGCTCGCAACTTCGCCCGCGTTGAAATAAAACAAAAAACAGCCTATGTTGTTCACAGATAAATTACGTTTCTGACGGTAAAGGAATAAAATCGAGCTAACAGTTTTTAAATTATCAATAAATACAAAAATACAAATGATTCCTCTTTATAATATTTAGTATAGATAATTAATGGTATAATAGATTGTCTAAAACTTTTGTCAAGGATCAAGACCGTTGTATCCCGGAACAATGCCTGCTATTCAATAGAATCTTTATCTTGTCTGTACCATAAACATTGGGCGGTATTCTATTCATGTTTTTTTTAAATCGTTTAATTATTGAAAAGACAGTGTCGTTAAATAGCGACTCATCATCCATTTGCCCTTATCCCTTATGGAGGGTCGGCACAGTATGTGCTGCTCTTCCATACATCTCTATCAGCCGTCATATCTAAATTCACTCTTTTCTTAAGCATATCTTCTTTCACACAATCCATCCATACTTTCTTCGGTCTTCCTCTTCCTTTGTAGCCATCCACATTCAATCTCAACACTTTCTGGTTTATGTCCCCATCATTTCGTCGCATAACATGTCCATACCACGCTAACCTTTTGCTTCTCAATTTCTCCACCACTGGCGCTACTTTCAAACTTCCTCTAATGTACACATTCTTAACTTTATCCAATCTTGTCACGCCACACATCCATCCGTTAAATAGCGACTAAGAGATACTTAATGTAGATTTCTCTAAATAGTGTAGATAGATACTGATATTTTAAGGATTTCTAATGGTGTGTAGCGGTGGTGGTCGCTTGTCTATATAAATATTATAAAAAGGAAAGATTTGTATTTTTGTATAGAAATAACACAAAATTCTTTCACCATTAAAAAGCTACGGCATCATTGAGTATCATAGGTTATATTTTTTAATGTCACGGGGGCGAAGTCGCGAGTAACAATGTGTAATAAATGGAAAAGAAATTTGAATGATTACCACTTAATTTAGATAAACTAGTAAACTATTTTTATATGAAATTCTGGAGCAAAATTACTCAGCACATTTTTCTACATGAACATTGTGAGCTTCTACAGGCATATGTGAAGTTCGAAACAATCCAAACAATGCCCATAGTTAGATACGAGCGTATTGTTATTTTGCATTGATTTTGTTAGACGGGAATATGGTTTACACAGGCCGTTACTCTTTGTTCAGAAACAAAGGCTTTTAGTGTTGCGATTAATATAGTGGAAGGGTTTTTAAACATTTTTCTTAGTTTCTCTTCATCTCTTTATTGGTAAAACTAATAATTGGATTTGATAAATTCTTCGTATCTAAAATATATAACTTTGTAAAATTGTTATAATTGAAAAAATGTTTAGAATATCTGAAAATTCATTAAGCTTTAGTTATTTGAAACTTTAAATAAGTCAAACTTTTTACCTAACAACACAGACGTGATGAAAATTTTAATTAATCCTTTGAAACGTATTAGTTTTTTTTAATTATAGATTAGGCCGCTATAGGCGGTATTCGAATAATGTCACTGTTACAGTTAATTTTTAACTATCTATACTATATCTCTATACTATTATAATAAAGCGTAAACACACACTTCTTTGTTGCCTAAGATGTCAAGAATTACAGCATATTTTCGAATAATTCTTTTTTTAATAAAAAGCCCTACACTTACATCACGCTTTAGGCTATATATTTTCACGCCATTAAACTTAGGGGGTAAAGATTTTGGATAAAAACCCTAATGTGGCAAAGAGACCATAAGTTGCTGCCAACATCAAGGAAGCAAGATTGTCAAGGTTTGTTAAGTCATGTCATTTTGACGTTTGCTATTGATAATTTGACAAATGTAAACAATTAAATAAAATTTCCATAATTTTATGCGGACGAAGCCACATGGGAGCGGCTAGTTAAAAAATAAAAGTTTTCTATTTGGGGGTTGGGTCTTTAAAAGACATGTCTTATTGTTGAAGCGAGCTGACATAATCATCTTATCTTATCAAATCTTATCTGTAGGGTCAGCTATACTTTACCCATGTTAAAACACTTCAAAAACTGTTTACACTACCTTGAACTTGTGTATCATTCCGTATCGGTTGAGCAGCTCGTATCCAAGGTATTTCACTGGCGCGCCCACAGAGGCCTCGTGCAGCGCGAACACGTCGAACGACCACTCGTCCAAAGTCTACAAGAACAATAAGAATTAAATAAACGTACAACCAAATAAACGGCTGCTATAATTTCGTCACAAAGTAGCCAGATATCGTTAAAAACGGGGGGTGACTACTTATAACATTTGCAAGTTACAAACGTTAAAAAAAAAGATATCAACATAATTTTACTTGCCAGTATTTATGTCTTCGTAGGTAAACAGTCTACCATTGCCGTAGTCTATGCCTTGCTCCCAATAATCATACTATTATATCATACTAATATTATAAATGTAAATGTTTAGATGGATGGATGGATGTTTGTTACAGTTTGTAGTCTAACGGCTGAACGGATTTCGATGAAATTTAGTATAGATGTAGAGGATTGTTTGGAAGAACACATAGGCTACTCACTTTAGTTTTTTTATAAATTTCAGGCGGTCAAAGTCGCGGATGAAAGCTAGTAGTTAATAACATTTTTATGACAATAACCTGTGTATAAAACAAAGGCTATACAAGCTTGATATTTTTAATTAGGCCCTTGTAGGAAAATACAAAGGAGTGAATTAGCAAAGAGATGCTGTAAATAGGCTGAAAGGTAAAAAAACGTTTGTGGTAATTCTTACACACTAATATTGTAATTACGCAAATAATAGGACATAGTTAAGATGTTACTATAAAATAACTTTGCTTAATTACTTTTTAAAATACTAGTTTTTGACCGCGACACTGTCCGCGCGGATTTGAAAAAAATAACCTCACTAGCCTGTGCTCTACCAGACTATGTTCTACATCTGCGCCAAACAGTAACAAACATCCATCCACACACACTGACACATACATACATGAGTGCTATCTCGACTGCTCCATTTATAAATTGAACAATGCAATAAAAGTTAAGGGGAGGCTGGAAACTAGAAGGGCCTTCAGTGTCAAGCTGGAGGCCGCTTCAGCTAAGCCTTCTCCTTTTGGCCGAGAAGAGTTTTTTTTTACTTTTTTATTATTCTATTAATTAGTTCTGTAAATTTTGTTTCATGTGTTTTGTTTTTTTTTATTATTCTGGCCAATAAATAGTGTTTTTATTTTTATTTGATTTTTTTTTCTATTCATCCATCCAAACTTTCGCTTTTATAATTTGGAGTATAATTATTGGGTTTGTTTTTACAGATTATACAAATCTTGCTCAGTGGTTAACCACATTAACAGTCTGTGTAACGACTTTTTGTTTGCCACAGCCTTTTCACATTAAAATGGCCGCTTTCAAAAGCAAACTAGTTAATAAATTGTGAGGTCGGTTCCCTGACATATTCATACTGTGGATAGTTTTATCAAAGCGACAAAGGACAGGTAAGTACAAGCGTCAGTTCCTCATTTACGAATAAAATGTTTTAAAACACATCAAAGGAATGGAATTATATTTGTTATTCTTTATTGCAGAAGTATTTGAAAGGTATTTTATTGCTGTTTTGTAGTTTTTCGTAATAAATAATTTTAGTGATTCGAATTATTAGTGAGAACGGTTGAAACAAAAGTTTATTAGTTTATTGCCGACTGAGTAGTAGATAGTTACATTTTTTTAGGAAATTGGCAAAGGAGCAATTCATTTCCTAATATTAGTTGACTAACTATTACTAAGTTCATTATCATCTCCCCTGCCTTATTTATCCTACACCCTTTCGACCTCTAAATAACTCTATCATCCGTCATCTCAGTCATCACTCCCCTCTTGATCATGTCACCTTTCATGCAATCCATCCATCTCTTTTTAGATCTATTATAACTAACGTCCGTCTTGTTACATATGATTCTTCCTTCTCATTACATGCCTATACCACTCTAACGTCTTACTCATTATTTTCTCAACCACTGGAGCTACTCTCAAACTTCCGCTATTGTATATTTCGTATCTTATCCAATAGAAACTATTACTAAGTTGCCAGTCTTTAAAGGACGCTCTTAAAGCATAGGAATATATAGACTTTTTTTATTTATAATCAACTTTTTAATGTCGTCCATTTACAAGCTTACACATGCTTGAGTTCATTTTGTTTGCTTAGGACTAAATCTACAGTGTAGAGGCGAAGTTTACGATGACGTCACAGCGAGGGGTCAAAGTTTGCTTTAAATTAACCATCTCACAGCTAACAGCCACTTGAAGAATATTAATTGGAGAATAAAAAAAATAAATCTTCAAAGTTTGAATAAAGAATTCTCATTTAATATTCGAAATGAGTTATATTAATTCGTTATTTTATAAAAATAGAAGATACAGGCAGAATATAAGTTTGATTAAAATTTCATGGATTAAATTTATTTTACAGTACGAATAGGGCTGTCAAAAATTATACAATTTATATTTTAATCTTTGGTTAACTCTTTACTTTTATATTTATTTTACTTTCTTACATAAAAGTTTCACAAGTCAATAATCTAAATAAATCAATAATACCAAATTAGGTACACGTTTAAATACTTAAACGTGTAACGTGAAACAAACGAAAACTCTATAAGCGAGTTTTATAGATGTCAACGCCCAAAACTGTTAATTAGCTATCTTTGAAGATTAATTCGCTTAGGTTCGTTAATTTTGAGTGTTTAACGAAATTGATGTGCTCACTCGATTATCTCAGACGCTCTATGAATAATAAAAAGGATTAAAGTTATAATCGTAGTAAGGTTATATCCTTAATGCACAGTTTACATTAGGTCAGTACAGTAAGACAGTAGCGCTTAGTAACTGGACTGACGTAGTGTGAACACTAACTGACGCCTGGAAAAACTGTCCAGCCAAGTGAGAACCAGGCATAGTATTACATTTCATAAAACCCGTTCACTATCTAGCTATCCCTTTCAAACTTATGTGATGCCAGATCAGTATATATTTTCTTTTGTTATCTACAGAATTATACTCTACTAGCTGTTCCCATGCGACGTCATTCGCATTTAATTGTAAAAAAATCATTTTATTGTTCACATTTGTCAAATTATCAATTCCAAATGTCAAAATGACATGACATGATGTCAAACCATGGCAACCTTGCTTCCTTGATGTTGGTAACAACTTATGGTCTCTTTCGCACATTAGGGTTTTTATCCAAAATATTTACCCTTAAGTTTAACGGCGTGAAAATATATAGCCTAAAGCGTGACGTAAGTGTAGGGCTTTTTATTAAAATGAGTTATTCGAAAATATCCTGTGATTGCTTACATCTTAGGCAACAAAGTGTGTGTTTACGCTTTATTATCATCGTATAGATAGGTATTTATTCAATATATTCAGGACTTAGTTATACATTCTATTACTATTAAGTTTTATTGATTTCGTACTAATTGGAGTGTGCTCGAATTGTATACATGCTTCCCGTACATACCGGAATAGTTCAATAACCGTCGGCTTATACTATCATTCGTTAACGATGTATTCATTGAATACTTTGTTACGAACTATTCCAATTCGTTGATGATTCGTCATTAATATAGGAAATTGGAATTATTCGTAAGCTACAATAGTAAATGAATTTAGAGATTTTATTCCTAAAACGTTCATTTAATAGAAGCTTTAAATCAAACTGTATTTGAATAATCGTGATTGTAAAATCATTTTAGTAATGCAATTTTTTATACCACGATACAAAAAGTATTTGACTACGATGTTTGTAACTTAGTCACATGTTAGGTGCATGCAATGCAACAATGTGAAAATGAAACATTCAACTTAGTAAAGAGAAAACTTAATTATTACATATTTTTACAATTAACAGCTGGATACTGAAACGAATCATAGACGCTTCGCCTTAAAGATTACGGAGTGCAACAGAAACTCTTCAGATGCTCTTACATTTTTACATGTCGTTTCAGTATTGTGCCATAAATCTCATTAATTTAACACCGACCCATGTTTGTAATAACCACTTCTTGGATGCAGATAATCCAATTCTTTTTCAATATCCCTTACCTTTAAAACTCGAACGACATCTTGTGGGAACTGCATAAGTGCAGTACTCGTCACCCGTCTGTAAATCCTGTCCACGAATATCCCAGCTCGGATAGCATGAGCCACGGATCGGAACTTTGGCTTTTCATCAGACTTTCTCTTGGATGTCGCCAGTTGCCTCGTGAAGGTTGACGCCAACCATTCCCTGACTTCAGGAGGTACTGCGTCCGGTTGCACCTCTGATAGCTCGTCATCTTCGTCAGCAAGTCGTCTGTGTATATACAGTTAGTTATTAGAAAGGGACTTTAATAAAACCAGTTGATAAGCTTCGCCACGTTAGAACATAAGCTTACGCTAAATGCTATTTTATTATTTTTAAACAAACGTGTTTCTTGTATCCTCTGCTCCTTTCCTACTCCATTAAAAGCTGCAAAGCTATTGGAATCTACGAAAACATTATAACCTTAAAATATTTTATAATCAAAGCCTTTTTATTTTTATAAACATTTTATCTAAGATCGATGTCATGACCATCATTTAATTTTTTCAAATAATTTATGGAGTTTATTTCAAGAGCTCTGTAAAAATAATTTTAATTGTTCTTATTTTTTTTTGCTGTACAGACTTAATGGTCATCCTTCAAATTACGAGAATTATGTTTTTAAAGACTTACGTACGAACTGCACCGTAAAATTCGAATAATATTAATTTATACAATAAACAGTTTATACTAGTAAATTTACTAACCACTATCATCTATGTCTATGAACATAATCTGCACTATTTTTACATTAAAATAATAAAATTGTGTAATGAATAAACAGTTTACAATTCATTAAATTGTAATGTTGTGAAATTACAAATATAATGTAAAAGTTTGTTAAATTAAGCATAGTCTCATCTAAATAACTATATATTAAAAACGTATTGTGTCCTACAAATAATATTTCTAGTTGAGACTTTACATGACAGTAAATATTCCAAATACATTTCAAAAACATTACAAATAATTTCAGATTTCAATCACCTAGTGATGGGCCACACTTCTTATTAAAAATAAACTGGGGAAAAAGTTTAATGATATCAGGATAACATAGATATGTTTTTAAAGATTAAACGTAAGGGAAAACCCATGCAGTGTTTGGGACATCTAAGGGAATTTGTTGATCAAAAATTTATGCAACATTTCATATCTGACGTGTCTGTGAATTTTTGATCTACAATGAATACATAAAACGTGCTCTACATTTTTGCATTTTACGTCGCTTTCCATCATACTGAGTACAAATTGTTTTATTCAATAACTTTTCACAAAATACTCTAACGAAAGTTAGCTTATAAAAATTCCTTCTTGAAAATTACTTCAACTACCAATTAAATTTTGTTTCATGTTAAAATGTCTTTAATTTAAATTTGTAGACGAATTTTTAATTTTTAAATACTTGTTTAAAACTATTTATGAAGTTTGTTTTAAAAGTAAAAAATGAAAAACTGATTAAACAGAAAAAGGTCAAAGATTTTATAATTTTGCAATGCAAAATAACTTATTAAGAACTGTAATCATACTAATTTTGAACAATTAATAATATAATTAATAAAATATTTACTAATTATTTATATTCTAAAAGTAACAACCAGTGTTGTAAACGATACGAAAACATTACGAGAAAATTAAAACATTAAAAACAAAGTCATAACAATTTGTTAGTAAAACAAATATTTAATTAAAACGTACAATGGAAAGCAACCTCCATCTTCACAGAACACATGACACAAGCGGCCTCGTTAAGGATGCTGTTAGGTTATTTTTTATTGCCACTTGAATAAAACAAGAGATGAAAAACTCGTGACGCTGTAGGAAAAACATAAGTGAATATGTTTGTAAAGAGAATCGAATAAAAATAAAATGTTTCCGTTCTCTAGTTGAAATAGCAACAGTGAGTGGAATGTATAAAGAAAATGTTTCAACAAATAAAAATTCTCAAACGATTTATTTAAAACCAAAATATGTAGTTTTTGCAAATAGTTGTCTGATTTTTTTCTTTTAGATTTCAAATTTATCTTGGGATTAAAGAATGTAGTTAAAAATCGTTAACAGAGGTTTTTTGCATTTTCGTATACTTCGAAAACCCTGTACATAGAAGTTCTTTTAAATTATAAGTATAATCTAGACCTTTAAAAAACAAAACAAATAAAAAAGTTGCAATGTAAAAAAGAATGTCTGATATAATTCAAGTGGCAATAAATGTTTGTAGTACATGGTAACATCGACACACCTAAACACCAGGGTCGGCGCCGACTGCTGGCGCGCCACTGCAGGTCTAAAATGAAACACGCAGTCAGTCTCACAGACAAGGAAACAAAGGGGAATAGACAGGGTAACAGCCAGGATAACGATACCAACATTCACAATCGGTTGCCTATTCGTTGGTTAATAGGTTCACGTGTCGATCGTTTGAACTTTGAACCTATAACCTTTAGGCGTTTCTTTTTGAATAGGTTTCATGAAGCAGGCATTCAGCTAATCAGGCAATCGATTGATTCAAACTTAGTTAATAAATAATATAACCGAAAAAAAAAAACAAATCTCAGAACAACGAAGGATGTAGTTTTTAAAATAACCGAACAAACTGTGCAACCAAATCTATAAGTGACAAAGGAACAGTTAGAAAATGATTGAAAATAAAGTTAATGAAACTAAATGATGTGAAAAGCTAAAAGTATAAATTCATCATCAAGGCTCCAGAAATATCATGCTATAAACAGTCAGTGGAAGGGTATACAAAAACAATTACAAGAGGTTATAGACGTCACGATTTTAAGAGGAATCTAAAGTAACAAAGGAATTTGCTAATTATAGTAATTTATTTTGAGAAAAAGTTTATTTTAATGATAGCAGATTTGTTGTCAAAGAAAATACTAGTTCTCTTGATATAATCCAAACAATAAATTGCACGAAAATCTTGTTCTCAAAATAATTACTTTGGAAGGGAAAGTTCTTTTTTACTATTCGTACCAATTAATTTTAACAAATCCCCTAAACTGGTACAAACAAATAAATAACAGACAACTACGAACAAATCTAAATTCAGATCATCGTATAGACGATAGAAGTGTAAGGATAGAATCTAAACTACCAGGAGATAAGGAAATCGGAGTAGAGTATACTGAAGCTTCAACAGAACAGAAGGACCTAATCGCACAGATTGGACAGAAGGGAGGCGCGTCTACTGGGCCATTGGCGACGTAACGGTATTAACTTTGCTTCGCTTTCGTTCGGTTTGTCAACTGAGGATCTGGTCCAGCACGGTGTACGGAGTCGTCGCATGTGGAGGGTTGGCTGCGCCCGCGGCTGCTCGGCGCCTCTCCTATCCCTGCGTTAGACATCATAGCTAGCGGCGGAACACCAGCGCGTGCGCAACCTATACCATTCCATTTTGCCTAGATCGCTAGATCTAGAAAATGACTGCAATGAATTGTTAAATAAAATGAGGAGTTAGATTTCAATGTTGGAGTATTGATTTTGTATATAAAAGATTTATAAATACTTTAATTTTAGCTTTTATAAAAAATTAGCTTTCGCCCGCGACTCCGTCCGCGCGGAATTAAAAAAAACAAAAGTGAGTAGCCTACGTGTTCTTCGAGACTATCCTCTACATCTATGCCAAATTTCATCTAGATCCCTTCAGCCATTTAGGCTACATACTCTAACAAACATCCATCCATCCACCTAAACTTTCACATTTATAATATTTGTAAGTATGTATTTTATACAATTATTTCTTTGTTATATTGTCTATCAAAATTAACGTAAAATAAAAGCAAAGAAAAATATTTGCTAGATAATTAGCTTCGTATTCCCAGATATAAAAAAATAAAAGAACTTACTCGAGTGTACGCTGTTCTTAGATTTAATTAGCAAATTAATTAATACGTAGCAAACATTATACGGTTTCAGCTTTATTTCTATAGAAAGTAAATTATAAAAAGCTTAAATATTATACATTCAAGAGGGTTATTTTTTCTCCGTTTTCGTAGCAGCGATGCTACGGCGTAGCATAAAAATTATTTCATTTAAAATTCATATCTAAATTTTCATTTGGTTTTGTTTGCTTCATGAAAATGGGACGTGGTTATTCTGATAGCAAATGAAGCATTATTTTTGCATCTTCATTTTTGCACAAACTTTGAATATTTTAATAAAATATAATGCTTAGTTTGTATAAATTTTGTATGAAATAAAAGAGAATTGTTATTAAAAATATAAAAAAAAACATTTTAAAATTTAATGCAGTAAAACAAAAAAAATCTCTGTTTTCATATAATCATATCCGATACTTTGAAATGGACAAGTCTAGTCTAAATACGAGTCAGTCTAAAATAACCGCATCAATATTTTAGTATATAATAAAAACTCAAAAGTAGTTGACCAATTTCAAAATTTCTTTTACTATTTTAAAGTAACGTTATTACCGCTTAAGGGTATATTTATTACTAGATGTTTTCCACGCGGACGAAATCACAAGCTAGTTTATAAGTCAAGCAATTACGTTCATTCAATATAGATTTTCAATACAAATAGAGTACATTACGGTCGAAAGCATTAAGTACAATTTGCTATAGAATATTAAGGTCCAATTCCTTAGCTAAATGGATTAATATCGGGGTCTAATTGTGACAAAGGTTCTATGTACATTTGTATCGGTGCGGTTAACTGTAACAAGATTATTTACGACGCCTTATTTAATAACTTTGTTCCATTATATGTTATACAGAAATCATACTAATATTATAAATGTGAAAGTTTGGATGGATGGATGGTGGATGTTTGTTCGAGTTTGTAACCTAAACGGCTGAACGGATCTGGATGAAATTTATCATAGATGTAGAGGATAGTCTGGAAGAACACATAGGCTACTTTCTTTTGTTTTTATTAATACCACGCGTACGGAGTCAAATATGTTTTACGCAAAAACAAATAAACATCTTAAAGTAGGCTTCAATTATTTCCATTGTACATATTGCTTTCTCTGTTTTGTCAAACAGAGTGAGAGAGACGGCAATAGGATTTTAATGGCAATGGAAATACATTTTATAAATTAAATTAACCAATGACTAAATGTATAATTTTTTAGACACATTAAGATGTGCAGAATTTTCATGCATATACTCGTATGTTATGAGTTATTTCTATACTAATAATTCATATCGGAAAAACGTTATTGTGGTATATGTCCGTGCTTTAACAAAAGATATCAGGGGTCGATATAT